TAAATAAACGTTGAAAAAAAAAATTAAAAAAAAAAAAAATAACTTTATGCTTACAGACTATGCGAAACAGACGAGGGGTCAGATTTGGCCCGTAGGCCGTAGTTTGCTGACCTCTGGCCTAGATTATCCTGTACACGTTGATGCTATTCTAACGGGGCTTGTTTACAGAACAGACTGGTGTGAGTGAAGCTGAGCAAGCAAATCCAGGCACAGCACAAGTTAACAATGTTGTGACTGCTCTTTGGTCTCCCGTAAAGCAAAGCTTGTGCTTCACATCTGTAAGGAGAGAGCTCCCTTCCACTTGGGCCCCAAAACAACACAATGCTCTCTGGCAGTTATTAAACTTATGATGCGTGGCTTCATTGAAGTATACCTACTTCATTTTCTTTCTTTTACAGATTTGTAGTAAAAAATGGTGCTTCCTAGCTGACATGTGATATGCAGTAATGTCTAATTTGCCAAAGTATATGCTTACACATTTATCTTATAGGCTTTCTATGTCAGTTTTTCATGGTAGTTCATAACGAAAGCCCCAATTTGAAGGTGCTCCATCACGTGAAAGTTTTGAGAATGACTATCCCTAAAGTGTCCCCTGTGGGGAATTTCACAAGAAATATGAAAATGAGCAGCATCTTTTCCTGGACCTTTACCTTTGTGGGATTTTCCTTAAAGCAATACACTGTTCTAGCAGTGGTCTTTCTATTAATTTTAAAGTATTAATTTAAAAAAATTTCCTTTTGCAGGAGTTAAGTAGCCACTCTCTTAATATTCTTATTCTATTGGTAGAGTGGAAAGGGCATGAGCTTTAAAGTCAGACAAATAGAAGCTGAGTTTTGATTTTGTCATTTACTGGAGGTAGGACTTGCTTCTCCAAACCTCAGACTCCTTACTTATATAACAGCTGATCACACAGGGTTGCTGAAAGGATTAAGTGAGATCACATAAGCAAAGTTTCTTATACACTGCAGGTACTTGGTAGACAAGGAAAGAAGGAAAATCAGGAGGAACATAATCTGAGATGCTTTGAAAAGTTATCTTTGATTTTACTGCCTTGGTTTCTGGTATTCTTCCACCCTCTCCCTTTTTCTCCATCTGCTTCCTGGAGTCTTGACTGTCTTTCTTCATAATTTAGCTCCATTACCCTCCATCTCATTTTGTTCTCTTTTCCACCTGCCCTTTAACATCCTCTGGCTATTTGGTGACCCTGAGAGAGTCCAGCAGGAAGATTTGGCCAAGTATGATCTCTTTATTACCCTCCTTGTTACAGGCTGAATTGTGTTCCCCCAAAATTCATATGTTAAAGTCCTAGTACCTCAGAATGCAACTTTATTTAGAAATAGCCATTACAAATGTAAATAGTTAAGACTGAGTCATACTGGAGAAGGGTAGGGCCCTATTCCAAAGTGACTGGTGTCATTAAAAAAGGGAGAAATAGGGGCGCCTGGGTGGCTCGGTCGGTTAAGCGTCCGACTTCAGCTCAGGTCATGATCTCACGGTCCGTGAGTTTGAGCCCCGCGTCAGGCTCTGTGCTGACAGCTCAGAGCCTGGAGCCTGTTTCAGATTCTGTGTCTCCCTCTTTCTCTGCCCCTCCCCTGTTCATGCTCTGTCTCTCTCTCTCTCAAAAATAAATAAAATTAAAAAAATTTTTTTTTTAAAAGGGAGAAATATGTATATAAGTATATTTTGGGAGAATGCCATGTGCACCTGAAGCCAGCCATCCAGAAGGTAAGGAGAAAGGCCTGGAACAAATCCTTCCTTCCAAGCCCTCAGAAGGAATCAACTCTGCCAACACTTTGATCTCAGATTTCCAGTCTCTAGAACTGTGAAACAATATATTTCTGCTGTTGAAACTACCTAATTCATCATACTTTGTTACAGTAGCCCAAACAAACTAATACACTTCCCAGATAAAACACAAGCTCTGGCTTTGCAGACTGGCTTCAGTTTCTTCAGCTCCAAGGGACCTGTGGTCCTACTCTATTTTGATAAAATCAACTACATTGGGCTTCTTAATTTTAGGACACACTATTTTTTTCCAGCACTACCCAAAAATGAATCTGTCAAAACGTTTTCCATAAAGCCCTTGCAAGATCTCTGGGTATGTGTAATTCCCAGCACCAATATAAAGAAAGCAGAGTGATCAAGAAATGTTTTATATGGTGGGCATGGTTCCTTGTTTCCACTATCCAATGCTCTATAATTCTTGATTTGTGTGAAGTGTGGCTAGAATCATCATGTCTGTCCATTCCACCCTTCTGTGGGTGGTCATGAGGACACATTAAGCTGTCAAAAGGGTCATGTAGCAGAGAAAAACAAGACGAGCTTGCTAATTGGGTGAAAGCTCTCCAAAACATACTCTTTCTTCCGGGCTGACTTCCGCTTCTCTTCATTGACTTCGTGGTTGGCATCCCGTAGCTTGACCTCACGATCTGAAAGGCTTGCTGGGATGATGTCCAGCTCCAAGTCCTTATTGTCCTACACAGAGAGAGATGGCAGAGGTCATCTGAGAGATGCTTCGGGAGAGCAACTCACCAAAGTTAGGGGAGGAGGTAGAAGGCAAAACGGGAGAAAGATATAATGGAGCAAGTTCAGAAGATGGGGAATCCCTCAAATGGCCACCTACGAGTGCTCTTCTTTAAGGAATATACATTTTTTTTCCAAATAAGAAATATTTAAAATGTTCAAGTCAAATGGTCAGGGCTAATATCCATAGCAAGGAAAAACAATAAGTATATTTAATAATTAGTGTCATATTTCCCCAAGGATTTCAGTCCTTATTAAATCAATCAATCTATCTATATACACACACACACATATAAATTAGTCTAAGATTGGTTATTAACCATTACAACAGTGTGAAACCGAAATACATAAAGATATAAGAAAACTTTCATTTGTCAAGGGAAAATAATAAAAGCCAATATTTTTATTTAAATGAACAACTTCCCCTATAAACAGAAAGCTAAATGATAGAACAATTACGAAATTTTCTAGCTGCCCATCCCTGCTTATTTCAACCACTGTTTTGTATGTATACAGGGTGGGAGCCTTTAGAAAAAAATCTCACAGTTTAAAGCATGGGGGATATGTTATTATTTCCCTCAATTTTAGCGGTTTAACTAGTGCACTCTCTAGTCTGCTCTGCTTCAGAGCATGAGCCTATTTAAAGATTTAAGAATTAGAAATCCTAGGATTAAATTGCCAGCCTATATTTAGCTCTTAATTCATAGGTTACTGACCTCTATTACAAAGAAGAGATTAACAGTCAGTCTTTCCTTGATTCATGGCAAATAGTATCTCTTTTCAGCTGAAATGTCAAACAGCCTTTGTACAACTGTATACCTTATTCTTGAAAGAGCACTATTGTGCATACTGGGGACCCTAACATTTGCTGATTAACATAATTGGTTGGAAGATGGTACTGATGAAGCCACGGTAAAGGGTTTAATCGCCAAAGGCAACAGTTAACTCTACACATAGAAAAACTGTTCTGTAGCCATGGGTCCCACCCCTGGCCAGCCAATTTTGCTGTATAGTACTAATCATGAGGGGATGGAGGCCAATGGCTTACCAAGATCCATCCCCTCCACTAGAAAAACCACACAAGGCAGGCGTTCTAGGGGTCAATAGCTCAGAAAGATTGCTCTGGACAGCCCACTTCCTTCCATGGTAATGAGATCAGTGGCATGGAGAGGGAGAGAAGGGAGGATGTCCCAGCTAAGCAACCCCCATGCCTACCTCTGTGTTGACGCCGAGGGCTTTCTCCAGGGAGTACCGGTACTTTCCCATCCTCAAGGAGAAGTCTCTGTAATGCTTGTCCACTGTGGTCACCCATTTCCTGATCTCTGTGGCATGAATGTGGCCTTTTTCCACAAAGCTATCGGCCAGTTGAATCAGAAGCTTCACCTTCTCCTTTGTTTGCTGTCCCAAAAGATGGTCTTAAATTACTAGATTACATTTACTCTCATGGCCCTTCAGTCCCATCCCTCTTTTCTTCACAGCAGCCACAGATACCTCACTGCCTGCCTGGGTTTATAGCCCAGCTCTCACTTACTAGCTGGGAGATCTTGAATAAATTAGTTAAATCCTCAGTGCCTCAGTTCCTTTACCTGCAAAATAGGGATCATAATAATCCTACATCACAGGTTGTTGTGAACATTTCATGAAATGACAATGTAGAATGCTCAGAACAGTGCCTGGAACATAGTGCTCATATTAAGAGCTCAGGAAGCAATACATGTTAGCCATCATGACTACTGTAAGAATCTTACATATTAATATATTTATCAGTTCACAGAATAGGTTAAAGTCACATCTGAGATCCATTTGAGTCCTAAAGTATCTCTAGATGGTGGATGGAAGGAGGTGGTGTGGGGTCTTTTTGAGCCAAGATGAAAAAAGCTGAGGCTTAGAGAGGCTTAGGGCTTGTTCAAATTCATACCACCTGTGAGCGACACAGCCTGTTTGCCTCTGGACCAAAGTGCCTAGTTCTCTTCCCTTCACTGTATTGGCCTGAAGTGGGCTTGTCAACAGGTAAGCTGACTTTGGCCAGGATCTAAAGAAATCCAATTAACATATTTAAGAGTGAAGTCTGCCCCTTTCACTACTAGGATCTTGTCTGAGAGAAGGAGAAGGAGGGAGGGAGAGGAGGTGGGGGAGGGAGGGAGGGAGAGAGAGAGAGAGAGAGAGAGAGAGAGAGAGAGAGAGAGAGAGGGAGGGAGGGAGGGAGGGAGGGAGGGAGAGAGAGAGAATGGAGTTAATGAAGCTAGTATCTACTACAGGGCTAAGGTAGAGTTTTGATGTGTATTGGATTAATTTCATTTCTAGCAAGAGGTTGTTCAACATCTACTCTGTCCATACCACTGTACCTAACCACTGTGCGGAAGGCTATGGGGACAGGCTCGGGGGGTAAACAAAAGCAGAGAAAAAGATACTCATTTTCCCTAAACAGTCTATATCTCTAGAGGGGATAAGATAGTCATGTAGAGTGGTTAAATAACTTGGGGCACTACGTAACTGAACGTCAACATGAGAAGTATGTAGAGTTAACACTGCAGGAATTTTAAAACAGGAAAAAATGAAGGTGGGCTGGCATGGGCAGGAAAGGTCTCGTGGGGAAGCAGGACTATGTCAGTAAGATATGGAAACAGAAGAAATGTTCAAAGAAGTAAACACTTGCTTATCTTTTATCCTAAGGTTGTGTTTTGAAACTCCAAAATCAGGGAAGCTTGATTAATTTTACGAAACAGTAAAGAATACTGGAATAATATTCTGAGAAGTAAAATTATCTTTTGGATTGGAAGAGAGTAGGTCCAAGATTTAGATCATGCTAAAATCTAGATAACTGAGGCAAAAAATTTCTGGAGCAAAAGTAGAACGGACAGAAGAGCCTTTCTTCTTCTTCTTCTTTTTTAATGTTTATTTTGAGAGAGAGAGAGACAGAGCATGAGCAGAAGAGGGGCAGAGAGAGAGAGAGAGAGAGAGAGAGAGGGAGACACAGAATCTGAAGCAGGCTCCAGGCTCTGAGCTCTCAGCACAGAGCCCTATGTGGGGCCTGAATCGATGAACCATGAGATCATGACCTGAGCCAAATTTGGATGCTTAACCAACTGAGTCACCCAGGTGCTCCAGAAGAGCCTTTCTTTATTCCACCCTCCTCCCTCACTTTTCCAGGCTCATCTCCCACACAATAGACTAACCCTCTCAAGAAATGCCAGAAAGGGACTCCTTCTAGCCAGAAAGACAAGCAAGGCCAGAAAGATGTGGAATCCAGCTCTTCAGCAACACACATGTCTGAACCTCTCCTGTCTCAGGACAATGAGCTGGTACCCAGGCTGGGAAACGAGGGCCCCAAAAAACTTTGGTGTGAAGGAAAGAAGGTGGGTATGGGGACAGGAGAAGCATCTCCTTAGCCATGATTAGGCAAAGAATAATAGCACTGGGAATTGGTTAAGAAAAGATCCCTGGGGGGCGCCTGGGTGGCGCAGTCGGTTGAGCGTCCGACTTCAGCCAGGTCACGATCTCGCGGTCTGTGAGTTCGAGCCCCGCGTCGGGCTCTGGGCTGATGGCTCAGAGCCTGGAGCCTGTTTCCGATTCTGTGTCTCCCTCTCTCTCTGCCCCTCCCCCGTTCATGCTCTGTCTCTCTCTGTCCCAAAAATAAAAATAAAAAAAAAAAAACGTTGAAGAAAAGATCCCTGGTATCCTAAGGACTTCTACCTCACTACATTTAGGGGTTTCTTTCCCCCTCTGAAAACAATTGTTATAAGGTTTGCTATTTATTTAAAACAGAGATTAATTTTTTGCAGCTATAATCAAGAAATGTTTATGTAAAACTCTTGAAAGCACTTATTTATTTTTATTTATTTACTCTCTCAGTAAGATGTCATCATGAAATGGGAGTTTCATGGCCAGCTGGTGGCAGCAGCCCTACAGGCAGTTCCATCACAGGAAATGGCATCCTGAAACCTGGAAACTGTGATTCAGATGCAACAGAGAGAATGGCTTGTGACCAAGAGGGTCCCAGGTATGTATGGACCTGGGGGAACAAATGGACAGTAAATTGGGCAGTGTAGACAAACCCTCCTCATGTGGTCTCACCTACCTTAGTGGCTGCCTCCAGGATCTCCATGGCCCCTAAGCACCAGTCATGCCGACCTCACATGTCCCTCCTGCTGTCATGGGTGGTACCTACTCATCCTGCTTTCCATCCAGTGGCCCTCTTCCCCACCAGCTGATGGGGGATGCTCTTTCCCCTGTCCCTAAAGCACTATATGTGTACCTCTACTTCAGCACATATCAGTCTGAGTCACTTATGTGTCTCCTTCATTAGACTGTGTACATCTCAAAGGTAAGTGTTACATCTGATTCATTTGTATCTCCAGGGTCTAGAAAATAGTGGGCATACCATAAATGTTGAATAAATGAATTAGTGAGTAATATTGTGTTTGGAGGTAAGTAAAGCTGGACCAGCAAAAGTTGAGGGTTTATACTGGGGAGAATTAGATGAAAAATTTGACCCATACACTGGACTGCAACCATGCACCTACTTAGTCTGAAATGAATTCTCACATACGAGTGACTATGGTGGCACCATGTGACCTGCCAAATGCTTGGCCACAGCTGATGATATCAGAGGCAAACACTTGTATCACTGGGGTGGCCCATCAATATGAAGCCACTGACTTCTTGTGTGGTGTCCTGGCCCCAGTTGTTTTTCTGGGGATTTGGACTGCATGGAAAACTGGGTAGGTGGTTGCAGAGTAGAACTGAAAACAGACAGCAGACATGAGAAGGGAAAGACAAGCTGAATCACAGTAGCGGTGATAATGTATTCCTGATCCCCCTGTCATGAGATGACGAGACAGTGTGATTGCTAGGATGGCCCCTGGTGTAGGATGACAGCCCAGTGTTCACATCCAGAGGTGAGACTATGCCACATTTCTTGTTCTTCCCATAAGGCTGAGTCATTCAGATTTTCTTGGACTCCTGGGAGGTCTAGCCATGGCTTCTATTTCCATATACAGCCATACAATATCGTTTCCCTTTCATAATTCAAGCCAGTTTGAATCTCAAGTCTTGCCACCAAAACAGAGTAACTTCTATAGACTGATAAAATGGGGGTCAGATTGCAGAGGCTCTTGAATGGTAGGGTCAGGTGTATGGGCCGTGAAGCCTTTAGGAAATGTAATTCATTTGAGCCTGGACATTTAGAATGGATAAATATCTCACTTATCCTGGGCTTCATGGTTCCTCTAATGTATGTTTTGCTCTATTTTGAATTCTATGTAATCTGCTAGAAAAGTCAGAGGTAAAAATAAAGGGGTCAGTAGTTCTATTTTTTTTCCTCCCCCCCCCCTTTTTCTTCTTTCCCTTCTTTGATCAGTTAATATTATGTCATCTTTCCCTGATCAGTGAGCCTTACTCTGAATATAGTTTTCAAAAAGCCCCTTTGGTATCTTTTGCACATTTGATAAGTTATTAAAGTTATTTAGCCTTCTGATATTATTCTCATAATCTCATTATAATCTTCCAATTTGCCTTTCATTGCTGATATTCCTTGTATTTATTGATACATTCTTTGTAGATATGAATTTCCTGAGCTCCCTGTGTGGGTAAAAAGTTCTCTTGAGATATATCTTCATATTCATTCCACAGGGGAGAGTTTGTCACTATATGTGAGAAACTAAAACTTTCAAAAATGTCTATTGCATGTAAACTATATCCTCTTACGAGTCTCAGAAACAAAATCAGGCCCATCTTTTATCTGAACTGTTCAGATCCTACTTTTCCCAATGTAAAGCACCTGCAAACAAGCCCAGTGTCCCCTTTCCACACAGCCTTCATTTCTCAATTAGCTAATTTAGTTCAGCTAAGGCACAAGGCACTTTTGTTATCATTTAATTCTCTTTTGTTAAGAATTAAGTCTGACTTATCTCATAGCTTCTTTCACTTTTGGAGATAAAATTACCAGTTTAAAGAAGTGTCTTCTCAACATCAGTTCTCTTTGGGAGATGTAAATAAAATCCCCATGCCCTCCAGAATGGCTATATTAAAAAGACGAATGATAACAAGTGTTGGAGGGGATGTGGAGAAGTCAGAACTCTTATACACCACTGGTGGGGATGTAAAATGGCACAGCCACAGTTGGGCAGCTCCTCAAAAAGTTAAACATACAGTCACCATAGGCCTCAGCCATTCCACTCCTAGGTATATACCTAAGAGAACTGAAAAGAGATGTTTACACAAAGGCTTGTATACAAATATTCATTATTCATAGTAGCCTCAAACAGAAAACAACCCAAATGTCCATCAACTGATGAATGGATAAAAAGTGTGGCATATCTCTATAATGGAGTATTATTCAGTCAGACAAAGCGATGAAGTAATGATGCATGCCACAATATGAATGAACCTTGAAAACATTATACATGAAAAAAGCTAGACACAAAAGGCCACGTATTACAGGATTCCCGGATTCTGTTTATATGAAATTTCCAGAATAGGCAAATTCATAAAGACAGAAAATAGAATAGTGGTTCCAGGGGCTGAGGAGAGGAAGGAATGGGGAGTCACTGCTAATGGGTACAGGGTTTCTTTTGAGGGTAATGAAAATGTTCTGGAGCTAGATAGTGGCAATGGTTGTATGACCTTGTGAATATACAAAATCCACTGAATTGTAAAAAATGAAAAACCAAAGAATCTTCAAACAAAATTTTGCTATTAGAAGAAATAGATTTCTTCCAGCTGCCAAAATGATTAAGCTTTCCTATCATCATGTGCTTTGACTCCTTATAAATTTGGAAGCCCACAATAGGAAAATATCTCGTGTATTCTTCTAACTGGATTTTCTACAGCCTACCACAATAAGAAAAATTTTGTTACCCTCTTATCCCCACCTGATTCTCTTTATCTTATTTTTCTCTTTACACTTGTGGCTTGCTATATAGAAAGTATATTTTTATATTTAGTGTTTCTTCTATTTGATCTGTTTCTTTGGAGCAGAGAATAATAATTCAACATATTCAATATGCTCTATTGCCCTGTTTAGTTGTGAGGGCCACCCTATTTTCTCTGTGTTGAGGTCAATTTGGTTTCCGTTTCCAATTCACTTTACTGGTTATAAAGACTAAAATCAAAGGTAGCTAGTTAAAGGAGGCTTGCCTCTGGGAAGTGCAGCTGGAGAGGAACAGGAGGCAACTGTTGCCTTTAATCAGAAGCTCTTCAGCTGGATTCGTTACCCTGTAATAAATATTCTTGAGACTTAGAACATGATAGATGGGAAAATGAAACCCCATTATGGAAAGAGTTAAGTTAGGAGGGAGAGAGAACAGAGAGAGCCAAAGGAATAGAATCACATTAAATATAGATTTGGTGTAGGGAGTCATTGAATCTACCCAAACTTCTTTTTTCCCCTATGTTCACAAATATTTGCAGCCTCCCTTTGATGCATGATTCAGTCAGGCAAGTAAACAAAGTGTGGTTCTTATCCTTTGGGATCTTGCTGGCTCAGACATGAGATGACACTTCGCACAGATTACTGGAGAACAGGATGGTTCATGGCAGGTCCCTTAAGGGTTATACAGACAACAGTGGATGGAATGCAGGGATGGGCCAGATCACATCCCGGCATGTCTGCATGATCACAGAGAAGGAGGCACTCCAGTGGAAAGGCAGGCTCTTTTTTAAAAGTACAAACCAGAAGGAAGAAAATAATATTCTAGGCAGAAAAACAGTATGGGAAAGGTACGGAGGCAAGAAAGCATATGATGTATCTCTCAGAGGGTAAGAAAATACATCCATTCAGCTGGAGCATAAAATTTGCACGAAAGAATAATGAAGATAAAACTGGGGAGGTGAGGTGGTGCTATTGTGGAGGTTGTTAATCAAGACACTGGCGAATCACTGAAGTTCTTGGACTGGGTGGAAACAGGACCCACCCAGTGTTTTCAAGATGAATCTCAATGATGAGCAGGATGGATGGGAAGGAAGGAGAGGCTGAAAGCATGGAATCCAGTTAGGGTGGTTACGAATATGAATGGAAAAGAGGAGAAAGACAGCAAGAGGATTTTAAGGAAGAGGAAGTTAAGTTGACTAGACAATTCTCTACATTTCCTCTTAGGTTATGAACAGATTCCGATCCTAACAAGTTCTGGGTATCTACCACAATCCATCTGATGGGGTTGGAACACCAGTGGATCTGATACCATTCTGCTTGTTAATGGTTCATTATTTAGAGGGGGGCAGATAGACACAAAGTATAGGTCATTCAAAAGCTATTTTCATTTGGATTTGAAAAGAGTTCTGGGCATCTGTCACCTTCCTAGTGCTGTTTGCTCTGGTTGGTACTGAAATGAGTCTCTTATCTGAACTGACAGCTTTTCACATTGGATGAAAAGGCCCCGCAGCTCACAGGGTTGCAGGGGAAAGTTTGCCACTATCAGAAGTTCATAGTGTAGAATTCATAAAGTGAATACCCACTCATAAAGTATCAGTTCCAGAAAGAGGCTAAGGGCCTAATTTTGTGACAGGAAACTAGAGGAAATGTGCCTTAGCAGGGATCTTTGGGGCGGGGGTGGGGGTGGGCATCAGTACGTTCCCCCCCACTGTGACCCCCACAAAAGCAGCTCTCATCCTGGTTAGAGCACCTGCCATGTGAGGAAGTGGTGCCAAGACAGGCTCCTCGATGGCAGGGAGCCCAGTGTGAGGCGCGAGGATGCCACAAAGAGGGAACTGAGACAGGAGATTTTCATTCAGACCCAAGGGTCCTCAGACCAAACCCTGGCTGTGAAAACAGATTTCCTCCTACGACAGCATTTCCTGCCTCAGTGTGAATGGGGGTGTGACGGTGTGTGCTGTGTGCGTCAGTGCACATTTTGCTCCCCAGAGACCCCAGCCTGGCTCGTTTGCAGGTCTGAGGCCAGATGGAAGCCGTCGGTTCAGGAAATAAGAAACTCACCTGTTTTGTGAACCCATCCACAGTCACTGGCCTATACGGGTAGACTTCCCAAACCATTCAAACGTCAAGAAGGTGTGGATAGGTGCAGAAGTTCACAGTGCAGTGTGCATTTCACATGAGTGTGCCCCTTCGCCTTATATGGTCTAAAAGAATACAGCAGAGTCTACACCTGTAGCATGGAGGTGAGTATTTGGGAGCACAGTGTATAGGAGCTGACTTCTCTCATACAGATGATCCATCCAGCAGCTGCAATTCTTTGGGTATTCAGGTTTCAATGGAGATCATCCTACCCATGCTCTCCGCCGCCCCACCCCTTGCCCCTGTGGTCAACATTTCTGTACACTGAAGCTGTTCTCCCTTTCATAATGTAAAACTGGCCAGACTGGGGAGTGCTGGGTGTGTGTGGGGAGGGCTCCAGATTGCTTCCTACCTTGGCGGGCACCCTGAATTCCCCATACTCTTTCAGCAGTTCCTGAGTCTCCTCTGTGGTCTCTCCGGGGGAGGTATGTGTTGAGAGGTAATATTCACCTGTTTCTTGGATCCAGTCCAGCGCCTGTGGGAGGAAACAACCCACCCAGTCCCCCAAAAGTCAGCTGTCAATTGCAAAACATGCATTGTTACACTGTTTGGGACAGTGTGACGGACCCAGGAAATGCTGGCACCATTTGGTCAGTATGGAGCTTGGAAGCTGATTTTAGGACTGAGCCCTCTCCCATTAGACTTGGAGCATCCTACCAGTAAAGAGAATGTCTCATCCTCGTCTTCTAGGCCAGGCCCAGGATCATCCATGAGCTCTTAGAGGCAATCTGACCCCAGCATCTTCTCCCAACTCCTGGTACAGAGTACGGGTAAAGGCTGAAGGACTGCTAAGTGACAGTCTGTTCTCCTTCCTTTTGTCAGCACCACCTCCCATCTCTACTATGCCTGCTGCCGTGACCCTCCTCTGTGTCCCATGCTGTGGTCATCTGGGTGTCCACACAGTCCCCAGAACTGAGGCAAAGTCAGGGCAACATACCTGCTTAGCACTGCGCTCAAACACCACATATTGCTGGCACTGGTCTAACCGTCGCTTCTTCAAGGTCCAGAAGTGCAGGACGCGATTCTCCCTCTGTAAGAGCTCACTCAAGATGGCTGTGGGGCAGAAGAGAGGAGCGCTGCTTCTGGGGGGCGCTGAGCAAATCTGCACACCCCAGGGGCCAGATAACTGTGACTTGCAAATCTCCCCATGGGACTAATCCAGGCACCAGATGGGGGGAACCAAAAGCTTGGTCCACAGAGAACTTCCCAGAGGGGAGCAAGATCGGGGGCGTGAGGCCTGTTGATGAAGTTCCATCAGTTAAGGGAGGAAGAGGATGCCCCCAGGGTAACTTAAAAGTGACCCTGATTCTCTTCATACCAAAGCCAGTGCTTGATGGTAAGAGACCTTGGGAGGTGTCAGATCTTAAAATAACAGCTAACTCAGTTGGCCTCTGGAGCCTATGGAGAGCAAGGGGACTTGATAAGAATCCCAGCCACTCTGGAGTGCTAGGAGAGGGTGGGAGAGGAAAAACAGTATGAGGGACAGTATAACTGCATAGATAACCCATGTCCTGAGCCACACTCTCTGCCCTGTACAAGCGGCTATGCATACACAGCACAGCCTTGAAATCATGGGCGTAGGGAAGCTGTGTTAGGATCATGTCTACCTGGAGTCATGTCTCTAGGTCCAAATTTCCATGCTAAGAAAAGGTGAATGCTATTCTCGTTACCTCTAATGATATCAGGTGAGAGGACATGCACCAGGCATGTGGCACCACGATGGGCCACGGCAGGTGTTCATCCATGTCATGTCCCTCTCTCCTCCTGTCATTCCAGCAGCAGCTGGCTACATGCCTAAATTTCCTATGTGTTTTAATAGTGTGCTCTATGCTTGAAGCACTCCTATTTAGTTTGTATTGTGTCTGCCTCCTGCTTCCTGCTAATTCTGTTAGATACTAATAAAATACACAATGATATGAAAAATTAATATTTATTAAGCACTTGCTAGGTAGCAAGCACATATTCTCATAATACTCTGTGATGCACATACCATTAATACCTCCATTTAGAGATGAAGACACGGAGGTTCAGAGAGGCTAGGTAACTTGCCCAGGGTCATTCAGATAGAAACGTTTGACCTCAGAGCCTGAGTCCTTAGCTACCTTGGTCCTCTGGGTTAGAGGGGCTGAGAAGCACAGACTACCACTACAGAAGCTTTACAAAAAAGGGCACAATCAAATCACAGTACTTGTACTTCGAACTTTTAGTGCATCCTCCTGGAAGGACAAAAATCTGTCTCTCTTCCTTTAAGGCTGAGAACTTCCATAGGTCTCAATTAGTCACCAATCCCTATATGTATGCCTTTATTATGTAACTTTTTAGTTCCTCCACAAAGAGACAAATTGCCCTGCTTTAAGGCTCAGCTGTGTGACCTGATCTGGCAAATGTGTTGTTAACAGATATTATACAAGCAGGAACTTAGTGTGCTTGTGCACATGACCTTGCCATCACCACTATAAGGAGTTTTCCCGGGTAATTTCTCCTTCAACTGGGGTCCCAGAATTAATACATGTGGAATAGGCAAGAACCCAACCTGCAGTGAAGGCACCAAGCCAGCCAGACTTGCAGCATGAAACAAAGCCGCATTGCTAAGCCCAGCCAAGACCGCTGGTCCCCAGCCAATGCAGTCACTTGAACAATAAATGTTTACAGTTGAATGTCACTGAATTTTTGCTTGTTATGCCATAATAATTGCACCTGTAATACAAACTTAAAATAAGTGGTCCTGGCCTTGGGTCCAGGCAGCAGGTGGAAAGGAAATAGGTATTGGAGAAATTGTAGGTCCCTGCTTAGGTGGAAGCTTCAATTGGGCAAAGACAAGTAAGAACCTGTATTTATTTTAATCTTTTGGCCTCCTAATCCTTGTTTTGCTCACTGCAGAATCTTCTGCGGTGGTTAAGAGAATCAACCCTGATCAGGCAAAAATCCTAGAGTTTCAGATTTCATTTCTCCCCTTTCTGGAAAGCTTTCCTATGGACACAACAACCTGCCCTCACCCTTATGAAGGTGCAGCATACTCTGGTCTTTCTGGGTGCCTGCCACTCCTGGTACAGTGAGGTGTAGGGGGAGGCACGTGCTCTCTCAGCAGGCAGTTGGCCTCACCCGGACTGCTGCCAGCACTGCAATGTGCATGAAGGACAGAGTGACATAATGCCAGCCACCACCCACGGGTCCCCTGACCTCAAACAGGGAGCATATCTAGAAAAGGAACCCTGCTTCCTTCTTCTCTGCAGCAAATTTTATTCCTAAGTGTAATTCTTCCCAGTGGCCTCTGATCTTCCCACCTCTCAAGCTCTCTGAGCAGGGAGGGAGGCCCTTCCTATGGCAGATCAGTGCCACCCACTTCTCAGCCCTCAGCCTGTCCCCACCCCTCACTCCAGGTCAGTTTCAGCTCCCTCCCTAGCCTGGGTCTCCAGACTTGCAGTCCTCTGCTGTGTCAAGATGAGATGACACTTGTTAAATTCTTCACTCGAAGGCCAATTTCTGCATGGCCCAGCATCAGTGATACCAATGATAATCATTTAAGCTGAAAGTGGTCACCTGATTAGCAATTATTGAAGGTTACTGATTTGTTCATACAATTGTAGATACATAGACTTCAGAGAGATATTAAAGATTATCTAGACCAGTAGTTATCTAAATTTTATGTGCACACAAAAAATCTGCTTGGTTGGGGTGGAAGAGCTCTTGTCAAAACGCAGCTTCTCACTCAGCAGGTCTAGGCAGGGCCTGAGAGTCTGTGCTTCTCACATGTCTCCAGGTGATACGAGTGCTGCTGGTCTGGGGACCACATTTTTAGGAACCAGAATTCAGACACCTTCCATTTTAAAGTATGAAAACGGGGCTCTGGGGTGGCTCAGTCGGTCAAGCATCCAACTTTGGCTCAGGTCATGGTCTCACGTTTGGTGAGTTCAAGCCCTGCATCGGGTGAGCTTGAGCCCCACTTTGGGATTCTGTCTCTCTCTCTCTCTCTCTCTCTCTGTGCCCCGAGCTCACTCGCACTCTCTCTCAAAATTAAAAATAAAAATAAATAGATAAATAAAATAAGAAACTGAAATTATAAAAGCTTACATGGTAAGTCATAAAGCCAGGATTAGAATTTGGTTTTATGCTTCTCAGTCTGTGTCTTGTTTATGGGCTGTAAGATACCCTAGTCTTGTGCTCTTCAATATATGTTAGCTGCATCTGGATATTTACATTTAAGTTAACTAATATTCAATAAAAGGAAAAATTTAGTTCCTCAGTTGCATTCGCCACATTTCAAGTGCTCAGTAGCCCATGTGACTAGTGGCTACTATACAAACGGTGTAGATACAGACCATTTCTTTTACTTCATAAAATTAAGTGTTGCTCTAGATCAAGATAACTGAAAAAGTGCCGGGGAAATTACATCTTCATTTTTCCATTCCAAATCCTGATGCATGTTTAAAAATTGCCCAGGAATCACCACTGCCCATGCCATCTCACATCAACATTTTTCTTATCCAAGGAGAAGAATCAGGAAATCAGAGATTGCATAAAGACCAGGTACACAGCCTCTGGTCAGTGCTGCCGATGTGGGTCACGGCTGGAAGCCCCCACACTGACCTTTCACTTGCTGCTCAGGTCCCCGCGTGTGGCTGGCGGCACTGGGCATGCTGACGTTGTTCCTGTGGATGTACTTGAGAAACACTTCAGCGTTCCGCCGTGCCAGGGTACAGGCCTGAGAGAGACAAAGGTGTGAGGACCCCAGCAGGTGCATGGGGTCTAAGACACTGGAAAAGGGGTGCTGGTGGTGAGGTTTCTGGAGCTCTGGGTAAGCAGAGCCCTGGAGGCCACTTCTGGTTCACAGATACTCCAATCCCAATGCAGGAGGCTCACCCTTTTGTGGAAGAAAGAATCACTCCCTGGGCTTCTCCCCTTTCCATCCCAGCTCAAAATCAGAAATCAGCCATCCCTTGACTCCCTATATGTTGATTCAGTGTTAATAATGTCATAGTTACTGCCTCAGGCTGGTTTTCCTCTGCCACCAGAATGCCTCCTATATGACCACTGGGGTAAGTCACTTTAACATTAGTTTAGACTTGAGAAAGCAAATTTGGTAAACAAACCTATTAACCATACATTCCATATCCAAATGGAAATTACATTAAAAAAAACTTATTTGTCCATAAAATCCACGCCCACCTCAGTGACACTAATATCCTACTGCTGGGAAATATGGATCTACACACAGGACTAAGAGCCATTCCACCACCCTCTTGACAATTCGTGCTAGCTGTGCATGGCAGAGGACAGGTCACGTTCTCCTTGTCCCCATGGAGGAGACCCAGGCCCCAAGTGGGCAGGAATCATGAAGCATGTCAGGGCTAGAATCTAGGACTACTGACAGATTATTCCTAGTTTCTCTCAAGGCCAAAGAATTTCTGAATTTCTTTGAGGTTTTCTTCTGTTGCAGAAGTAATGCAGCAGGGCCCCTTATCCACAGTTTCCATCTCTGCAGTGTCAGTTACCCGCAGTCAACTGCGGTCCAGAAGCAGGTGGTCCTCCTCCTGATGTGATGTAGCCTATCGCTACTTCACAGTACCGACATCATCCACCTCACTTCATCTCATCTTGTAGGCATTTTATCATCTCACAGCATCACAAGAAGGATGAGTACAGTCCAATGAGGTATTTTGAAAGACCACACTCACATAACTTTTATTATTGCATATTGTTACAGTTCTATTTATTATCAGTTATCGTTGTTGAACTCTTACTGTGCCTAATTTATAAATTAAATGTTATCATAGGTATACACACATAGGAAAAAGCATAGTATATATAAGTTCAGGCATCCACTGGGAGTCTTGGAACATAACCCCCATGGATAAGGGGGATTATGATACATGCTAGTCCACTAATTTTTAATCTACAGTTTTCAATAGTATCTCTAAACAAAACTGTCAAATTTTGACACCTTTTTACATTTAGCAACTGATTCCACAAATTACGCTGTAAAAAATTATTTTAAATTTTGCATTAGTAACAATTGTTTCTGGGAGCTCTGGTAAAAGACTGTTGGTGAGTCTATCCACCATGAAGTCCACGAATTTAACAGCTGGATGGTGGTCCAAAGCTAAAGTATCCAACATAGATGAACTAATACACATAAATGGAGAACTCAGTGTCTGCCATTGGGCATTTGATTCCCACAGCAATAGGGAGTTTCTCACCTATGATTTTAGGCACACATGGAAAACATTTTTTGTTTCATGCTTCAAAAGAAACGTAATTTTATGAAGTAATATCTTTATGCCTCTTTTAAAATTCTTTAATATGCTCCACTTAAATTATTGTTTTAAAATTTGTTTTATACTAGAATAGACTTTTAAAATCTCTTAAGCCTGGTATAGAAGACTTTTTATTTAATCTTATTAGTAAGAGCTGATTACTAAGGGTTCTGATTGAGTGCAGGTGCAAGTGCCTGAAAGGAGGGGTGCAGGGAGAAGCTATCTTAAAAAGAGAGAAAGAGAGAAAAAAAAGTAAAACTCAAAGAGGTGGTCAAGTATAGAAAATCCCTAATAAAAGAAAGTCAGTTAATTATAGAATTATAGAAAAGCAGTAGCAACATGTCAGAGTATAAAAATTCTCTTTGTACTTTCAGAAACCTGAAAGGAAGCAGAACATGAAAGCAAGAAATTTGAGAGTAAACAGAGCCTTTAGATAATTTTTAACACAGATGACTCTGGCAGAGAGAAGATCAAAGGCTAGAGGAAAGAGGCTTACTAGGACTTTCCACACCAGCTGAAAGCCTGCTCAGAGCAGGACCGTGCTTCCTCCCTGAGAAACCAGGGCTCTATTAAAAACCAAAACAAACAAACTGAGGTATTTCTCTCTTCACGCAACAGAATAAATAAGTGGTGTTATATCCATTGGTTACTGATAATTGTTCGATTGATAAATAAGGTGTCTAAATTCATTTAATTCTTGCCCTAAATTTTGCATCATCCATTTATAAAATATTTATTTTAATACTGATTTAATCTGGGCTTATATATTTCTTTCTTTTTAAAATTTTTTAAAGTAATCTCTGTGCTCAATGTGGGGGCTCAAACTCACGACCCCAAAAGCGAGAGTCGCATGCTCTACTGACTGAGACGACCAGGTGCCCCTGGGCTTATCTATTTCAATTAAAAATATCTTTATAAACCGAACATCACTGGGTGAAACTATGTATTTTTCTCAATTAACAACATCAACGGGATATCATGATATTTGAACATGGCACCTGTACTAATGGTATATAATAACTGCCTAGTCATCTAGAAAGTGCTGAGAGAAATAATATTTGAAGTGTAACTTTTCAACCTTTCAGGGTAACCAGCCAGTATCTTCTTTTATCTTCTCTACAAATACCTCCCTTTAGATAAGAAGTGAGGAAAACAGGGGGATGGAAAGCTCATATGATGATGCCTGCGTGTGTGTGTGACAGAGTCAGAGAGAACGGAGACCAAGGAGCAAGGCTAATGTCTCACACTGTGGGTGACAATGTGCTCTCACCTTAAGAAAGGCCTCCTTTTGTTCCAAATGTTTACTGATGAGTGGGATGACGTGGTCCATCTCTGCTGCTGGTCCCAGTTTGTCTCGTCCACCACACCAGTCCTCATCTCTCCGGTATTCTTGCTCTAAACTCTCCAGGACACTACAGACCTAATGAACCAAGGAGGAAAGGCTCTGTAGATTACTCGGTCAGGAAGGATTTTCTGAGCAGCTTCAGCTGACAGAACCCTGCAGTTCCTTTTGAAGTTCAGTTTGTAGATTTAGAACATGCAGTGCCCCTGGGACATCTAAGAGAAGTCCAGGATGCAGTGGAGTTTGGGAGACTTGGAGTCATCTTCTGACAGTCGTTGGCTGAAGGCTGAAGCTATGGGGTTGAAGACATCACTTAGGGAGAGTATACAGAGTAAGGAAGGAAGAAAGACTAGTAATTTGTGGGGGAGGGGGGTTCAAAGTGTTTTGTGTATGTTCATTCTATCTCTGGAACTTCTTGAGGACTCTGTGAATATGGCAGAGCAGGAAAACGAAGTTTAGAGAAGATACTAGGATTGCCCAACCATCTGTACTTGCCCTACAGGAAGTAGCCCCAAACAGAAATAAAGGAGGAAGTGGCCGTGTTGAGGGATTTATGGGTCCTAAGTGAATGATTTCTTTCCTCCTCCTTGGCAAACATATCCCAGCAAAAATGTCTTGAGCTACCATCATAAGGCAATGACAACTTCAGGTCTTCTATTAGAAAATGTGCATTTCCTTCAGAGGATAACAAATCTAGGTTAACTTAAAAGATAGTGGTTCTCAAAGTGCTAAGAGGCCATACTCTAAAAGCAAAAGTGTTGCAAATGGCACTTGGATGGAAGTCAGGTTGGGTGCAACAGAAGGGGACCTAGGGCAGCCTTGTGTCAGGGCCTAGGGAAGGGTGCAGGAAATAGAAACCTGTATTCCTATACTTTCTTTTACTAGGCTTTGAAAGCTTGGCTATGGCAGCAGGGAGAGCAGCTACAACTATCCTGGGTCCCCTTTGCCTGAGAAGGCCATCCCTTTTGATGAAGAGTGTGGTACTAGACAGGATGTTTACTGAGTGATGAACTGAGCTGAAAAATGTTCCAGGCAAATCACCCTCATGGCCAACATGCTCCCCATGTCATGAGAAGGCCTGTCCCTGAATCCTGCCTCCTCTGGCACCACACACCTCTCCTCATGCAAGGCGTGAATATGTGTAGGAAGGCCCATGTCTTGAGAGAAAACGGATCACAGACATGCAAAAAACTTTGAGTACTTAAGGCCTGTCCCATGATAATACTGAACTAAAAATCAATTTGGGAGCTAGAGGAAATGAAAAGATTAGCAAGCATAAGTCCTTTAATTTAACAGGTAAAGAAACAAATCCAGAGCGGTAAGGTAACCTTTGGCAAGGTCAGTTCAGGGACAAATTGACTGACTCCTTAATGTAGAGCTTTGTCCCCTTCAGCATCATGGTCCATTAAAAACTAAAAGTGGTGTATGATACTAGACAGGGATTAAACCTCATTAAAAAAAAATCTGGGTACAGGTATTCCTGCTTTTCACAAGCTCACAACACCACTTCACGTTTGTGAAAGACCTATGTTAGTACCTGTTTTTACTAACTGAAAGAAAGACGTGGAGGATTTTCGGTTTTATGAAAAAAGGTGAAAAGTAAAACACAGTGTTCAGCATTTGTTCTGCGGGAAGCTGTCACAGAGGCAGCATGCACCCAAGTAGTGAGGGTGGTCCCCAGCCTCCTTCTCCAGGAACTATACTCAGCCTCTCAGCATCCAGCTGCCACAGCTCTGAACTGTGTCTGTGAGCATCTGTGCTTTATCTTGACTTATTCTGTGCGTCCATTAGCAAGATGTGTCCCTAAGGTTTCAAAAGGGCCTACAAGAGGTTACTTTTGGGTCTGGGAATGTTAAAAAAATTTTCCCATGTAAATTAATGGTCATTGCTTTTTTGCTTTACATCTGACTTCAGCTTACAAAAGTTTTCATAGGAATGCTCTACATTCAGATAGCAGGGGAAACCTATATTTAGTTGTCCAGTATCATTCTTTCCTTTGCTTTTGAATTGTTTTGTCAAAATCAACTGACTGTATATTTGGGGTCTCCTTCTGGAATTTCCATTCTGTTTCATTGTGTCTATTCTTACGCCAACATCATTCTGTCTTGATCATTGTGGCTTTAGAGTAAGTCTTAAAATCAAGTAGTGTAACTCCTCCAACTTTTTTTTTTTTCTTTTCAAGATTGTTTGGCTATTCTTGATTCTTTGTATTTCCACATAAATCTTACAATCAGCATATCTTTTTTTTTTTTTTACAAAAAAAGCCTGGGATTTGATTGGGATTGTGTTGCATCTATAAACCATCCTACTCAGCTGCTCCCAATTCTGTGACCGTCAAAGGCATCATTACTCCAACAGAAAGGAGAAGTGAGAAAAGGTGTGGAGACTGGAACACTGGCTACTGGGCCCTCTGACAGGCATGTCATATTTGCTTCAAGACAGACTTTCTCATGGTCCCTGTAAGTCACCCAGAGGAGAACATTTCTGATTGATTTCTACCAGGGAGCAATTCAAATGAGGAAAGTATTTTACATTAAATAAAATTACTTCTGTTTTTTTTAAATTATTATTGAGAGAGAGAAAAAAAGAATGAGTGAGGGAGGGGCAGAGAGAGATGGAGAGAGAGAATCCCAAGCAGGCTCCAGACTCAGCACAGAGCCTGATGTGAGGCGTGATCCCACGGTGCCTGGGATCATGACCTGAGCCCAAATCACGAGTTGGATAATCAAATAACTAAGCCACCCAGGTGTCCCAAAATTACTGTGTTTTAAACCTCTATTTCATGAAAAGAATTCCCTTAAAAGCACCTGAATCATTTAAAAATCCTCTCGGCCCTGTGCATATTGCTGTACAGATGGGACAGTGAAGGGTCCACATCTTTAATGTCCTGCTGTATGTATCTCCTGCCTTTTCTCCCATGGCAGCACCATCCTACCAGTTAGGCTCATGGTCCACCGGTGACAGAGAACTGTTTCCTCCATCAGACTGAGAGCCCCACGAGTGAAAGTGCTGACTGTTTTTCAGGCATAGTGCCTGACTGTGGCACATTAGATCACGGTCACTCTGCTTTCCTACTTTCCTGACCTTCATAGGAGGCATATACTTCCCTGCCTCATTGATGTTGGCTTGGCCCCGTGACTTGTTTCGGCCAAAAGGATGTTAGAGCATGTAACACAAGCAGAGACTTGAGATGCACCTGCACAGTAGATTTTGGGCTCTTGCACTCTTGCTTTTCACCATAAATGTGCCTCAAATAGCTGCTGGTCAAGGAGGATGACAGACATGAGAGCAGATCCAGACCAAATCTATAGCCGGGAGCCCAGTTCCAGCAAGCTTAGCCAAGATCAGCTGAACTCAAATACTTAAAAACAAAATGCTTATTGTTTTATGCCACTGAGTTGTGGGGTAGCATTATTGTGGCAATAGCTGACCCATACACCCCTCAAATCTAGTATTCAGTCCAATTTGTCCCTTAACATCTACGTCTGATGAGTTTGAGAAATTCCTAAGAAGCAAGTCACATGGCTCACTTCTCTAAAGAAAATGTTATAAGGAAGCTAACTGCAGTATTTCCACATCATTTTTCTACTCTCAAAGGTTAGTACTGAGAAGACTAGCTTCTTGTTAAGGGAGATACTGCAGATTTGCAGTACGAGGGGAAAAAAAAAAAAGCCCTCCATCAACATCAGTCCCTCACACCCTGCAGCCCTTCCCTCACCTGTTCAGAAGTTTTATAAAATGCCACAGAGGCATTGACTAGTTTTAGCCGGTCTTCCATCTTCAGCATGAGCTGCTGCCAGTGGAGGGCCACCTTCTCGGCACATTCCCGGATGGCATCGGCATCATAGTGGCCGGCCTGGAGCAGAGCCTCAGCTTTCTGCTGTACCTGCAGGGCGCTCTGGTGCGTCTTCTGCAAGGAAGTGGCATGAAAGAGGGACTGGGCACAAGGGGAGGAGAGAGAGGTCCGTGGGAACGACCCAGGCGTGGTACAGGAGGGGGTGGAGTGAGGCGTGAGTGGAAAGATGCAGAAAAGTTAAAGAGCTTTAAATGGTAGATTCAAACATTTTGTCATGACGATTAATATATCACTGTTTTTAAAGTGTATTAAAAAAAAAGAACATCATGCATTTTCATTGACTGAATGCTCAGGACCCTGGCTCCTGCCCACCCCCCACCCCCACTCTCCTACTTGTATCACTGGTTCTAAAAACATCCCAGTTTCTGTGGTAGAAAAATAACAGTTGTGTATATATCTGCTCCCTGATTGGTTCATACACTAGTGAATTTTTCTTTTCAAATCTCATCATAAAATTGTTCACTGTAGTGAGTTTTCAAAGGAAGTTACTGCTGTAGTCCCATTTTACAGATCAAATAAACATAGCACATAAGAAAAAAAAATCTCCATATAATACAAAGCTCAGCCAACAATACAATTATTTTAAACATTAATAATTAGTTGAAAAGGACTCCAGGAGAAGGAATAAATTTGGCAGGTTAATAAAGCCTAAGAGTAGCATCTCACCATCACTTTGCTACCTCACCAAGGGAACAGAGCAGTGTAGTAGATAATTTAGCTCAATGTGTAATCCTTACATTATTACATTACTTATGTTCGCATTTAGGATAATATATATATCATGGAAGGTTTATTTTCTTATTCAGGCTAAATGTGGTCTGCATTCTCTGATTCATATTAACTGTAGGAGGTAGGGAGACCAGGCTGGAGGACAGGGTGGCAGAGAGAGCCAAAAGGGATTAAAACTTACTAAAATAAAGTACGGATGTGGATGAAACAGGACTTCAAAGAGCTAATATTATTGCAACCTCAGCCATTGGGATGATTTCAACTCCATGGCATAGTGGTAATTTGGCTTCTGCATGTTTAAGAAAGTATAGCTCAGCTTCCAGTAAAAAGGGACAGCTAGCAGCCCAGTAACATACTCCAGAACTACTTCTGCCCTTCTTGGGCAGCCGTGCAAGGACAGTCCCCAAGAGCTGATCCATTCAGCACTCCCTGTGTGAGTACAACCTCCCTCCTTTTCTCCTCTACACCACTGCTTCCCCTTCACCCTCATCCCAGAGGGCAGTTTGCATAGTCCTGTTGATTTTCCCTAGTCTGTCAACCATCTCCTGGCTTCCCTTCCCTGTTCTGAAATCTGTACTCAGTGTGAGCTATGTTAGCACGACAGCCTCCAGCAACCTAGACTCCTTTATTCCCTTGCTTTGCCACTAAATCAGCCCTCAGTCATGATGACCACATCAGAATTTGAGTTCCTAAATGCTGAACATGGCTAGAAAGAGTAAACTAAGGGGCAGAAATGATCCTTTATAAATCCCCAACTTCTTTCTCTGTTTTACTTATCGGCACCATTTTCTTTTCCTGTCTCCTAAATAGAGGGGTATCCCAAAGTGCATTCTCGGTTTTCCTTCACTTCTGCAGAGCTCTTATTTATTCCCATGGCTGCTATTATTTCCTCTTTGTAGATGACTCTCAGTATCCATCTCTCGCCCTACATCTGACCCTCATCTTTAATTGTCTTGAGCTGCCTGTCACGCTTCTCACTCCAGGTCAGCAGCACTGGTTCAGTTGATTTAGCTGCCTGCCCCATGTTAGCCACTTACAAAGATGCATTCTTAGTAAAAGAAATGAATGGTCTTCCTGGAGACAGGAGGAATGCTCGCCAGTGAATGCAAACGGCTTGACTGCCCTGCCAGAGCCACCACCTTCCTCCTAGAGATCTTCTCAGGTTCCGCATCTAAAATGAAACTCCTTCCTCTGAAAGCATCTTCCGACAGCAGTCTACCATCTGCCCTCCTTGTTGTCACCTGGGGTTCCAATAGTGACATCATCCTTGACTTGTTCCTCAAGGAACAACATCCTTGACTGGTCTAGCCCACGTCATGCCTAGACTGCTGTGGTGGTTCCAGTGCTAGTCTCCTTGCCTTCCATTTCTAATCCATCAAACCCATCCTTCACATTTCATACAGATAAATTTGATTTCCTGTAATAGGAAGTTCTTGGATGAAGTGACTTCTAATGTTCTTCCGGCTCTGAAACTCTAATTTGATGCTATAATATCATTCCCTTCTCTCAACTCAAAAGCCTTCAGTGGTTCCCCTACTGCTGTGAAATTAAGTCCAAACTTAAAAGATGTCATTAAAGTCTCCTCCCAATGTAGTCTGTAACACTATCATCTACTACCTCCTTACAAAAACCCTCTGAAAACACACTATGCACTTTTTAATTTTCGCTACCTTCATTCTTCCTGCCTTTTAATGAACATCCCTTCTTCTCTCCCACTTATGGTCCAGTAGTACTTTGAGACTCAGCTCAAATCTGAGCTGTTTTTGGGGGGGAGGGGGTGTGCCTGGGTGGCTCATGGTTTGTGAGTTCGAGCCCTGCATCTGGCTCTGTGCTGACAGTGCAGAACCTGCTTGGGATTCTCTCTCTCTCCCTCTCTCTCTGCTCCTCCTCCACTCTCACTCTCTCTCACTCTCAAAATAAATGAGTAAACTTAAAAAAAATGTCTTTTGGGGACTTCTGGGGAAGATGGTTGGATAGGAAGATCCTAACCACAGGGGAGGTCAGCAGGGAATGGGTAAAATAGGTGATGGGGATTAAGAGTACACTTATCATCATGAACACTGGGTAATGTTTAGAACGGTTGAATCACTATATTGTACATCTGAAACTAATATAACACTGTATGTTAACTATATTAAAATTAATTTTTTTTAACTGAATACAAAAATCTTTTTGGACAGCTGGACTCACTAAAAACTACTCTCTTCTGAATCATCTAATATTTGGCTGGTTCTCCTTACTTAGACTGTGAAACTCTCAAAGCAATGACTGCTTTAAAAATCACTTTAATAACTGTCATTTATCCAAGGGTATATGCTGTACCAAGCACTGTGCTTATGTATATTTGTTCTTTCTTATGACACCACTATAAGGTGGGTATTATTATTCCTATTTTACAAATAAAAAAAAAAAAATGAGGCTCAGGCCGGTTGAATGACTTTCCCAAAAATGTACAGCCAAGGAAGTGATGAGACCAGGAATAAGATTCAGGTTTGACTATTCCTATGTTCATTCCCACCATATCACACCAGACTGTTTTATCTCTAGCAATTAGAATGGCATCTACAGTGCTTCACTCGGAGGAAGGGTTCACCAAATGAACATTAGTGATTATGATAATTAACTGGCTTCTCAATATATGAAATCAGCATGTAATTGTCATCAAAATCCCATCATTATGTCTTTTTCTCTGAGAGTGAAGGAATAACTCTAATTGTCCTATAATTTAGGCTATGTAATAAATCCTCTTCCTTATTATGAAACTCATTATATCTGATAGTCCTTGGAACTCTGTCCCCTTTAATTTCCAAAATGACAAACTCTTATGCACACGACATAATCTTGCTTTGATACGCCTGAGTCATTATTTTGCATGTACTTCTACTCTCTACTATGTAATCCTATTGAATATTATATCTTTAAGACATGGATTACCAAGGATGTTAATATATGATGTAAAATAGGAGTACATGGAAGAAAATTGAACCAAATCAATTGAATTTATTACCCAGTTTTAACTACTTTTTCTGCCATAATGCTCATACTTAAAATGCATAAGAGGATTTCAAATAAAATAGATTTCAAAATCGAGCTTATCTCTATGATATTCACAGCTCTTGAAACCCCATCAGCCATAACATCTTGCATACTAACAAACAATAACTTGGGTCTGTTGATAAATCTATACTTTGGGTGCTTTGTTCTGGTCTTTGTTCTTAACTGTTCTGTTTTCCTGAAACCCAGGTACTTCCAGTAAAAACTCTGACCTTCTTCGGGGAGACCAAAACCTTAAAACCCATAAATCCACCCAAGCTACGGTAAGCAGACATTCTAGTCTGCCCATGATAGTGTTAGTATATGCCTATTTTTTCTAGCTTAATTACTAATAATTCCCTTCTTCCCTCTCAGAAGTGTCTCAGTTTTAACAATAAATTATATGATCATCCTACCCACACTTATTTTGTTTTCCCTTCTGGAACATAGGATTTTTTCTCAGGGTCCAAGAAGTCAAATTATGTTCTCTATCAGCCATTACTTGGAAAGGCCTCAGTAATACCATCAAAGTGGGCCAAGCCAAACCAGGCTAGTCAGATCCCCTTTCAAACTGCTTCAATCTTCCTTGGCATATTTTCCCCTTGATGCAGAACATGGTCTAAACCAACACGTTTAGGGAGAAGCACAGGCTCCCTGGAGAAGGAGCAAATTGGAAGTTCATTATGTTAACTATGCGACAGACCCTGCCTACCCTCCACTCCCATGATCTTTCAGAAATCCTATCTGCTCTGCTATCTCCTCTTCAGACCATAGACATATACTCCACAGGGGCCTATATCTCAATATCAATTCCAAGAATATTTGATCAAGTTGCACCCATGTAATTAAGAAACCTACATGCTTAGTGAGCTTCTATTCTGTAAGGGTGCGACAGCACCATTGCAAATTAATACATACTGCATATGCAGGTCGTGGGATTTAGTCACTTCACTAGCAGAGCTGATGCATTTACCCAGTTTTCCACTAGCTCACTGAAATGCTCAAGTACATCATGACACTTGGTTTTACTTGCCCAACATTTGCTTATGGAACAGGGAATTTAATTACCTGATAGGGCAGGTAAACCTTCACAGCTGAGATAAACAAGGAGGAGGTGTGGCCAACAATGGTCTTCTCTCTGTCTAGCACTCTCACAGCTCCATGCCATGCCCCTAGTCTGCCCAACCTCTGTTCCCTTCATGCTGACTCTCTATGGGGCTTTGACCACTGTGTGCCTGATTTTCAATTGTAACCCCAATCCTGATTTTTCCTTGACAGTGAATAGGTCTTAACAACTTTCATATTTGGGCATGCCAGTAAAAGGGAAAGAGGCAGCTGATGATAATAAAACCTCTCTTCTCTCCTTAGTTCCTCCTTAGAAAATTATTTGCCCACACTGTGTGTGCAATATATAGCCTATTTTAAAATCTCAAATCCCAGACAGTAAACTACGACTAGTACTGGTTCCTACGAAGATAGCAGGCTATCTATGATTACTGTATTAAAGATATAAGTATGGGCATGAACAGCTAAAATTTTATCATTATTGTGTAAAATTCTCATTAACATTTTTTTTTAGTAAAAGATAACACCTTTGCATTTCTTATTCACTCAAAAGTGGGTTGACGTTTATACTGAACCACAAGTAATGGATGTCTTTCAAGGTTTCTCTCTGTTCCCGTTGGTGCTGAACTTATTTTTAATATAGTTCCCATGTCCCATTTCCTACTCTTTCCCCCACACCACTCTAAGGCAATCAGCTCAAGTCTCTTTGGGAAGGAGAATGTTCTAGTAGAAAGGATAATTAAAGGTATTATTTAAAGCAAGATGAAAAAATTTATATCAGATTGTTGTAAGAGGAATATTATTTTAAAATAGTTTTTAAGACAAGTCTTGGCTTGTGAACTTCTGGTTTCAGTTTATTCTTGAAACGTGACTTATCAAACAGCTACTCTCAGTGAAGCAAACTATCTGGTGCAACCTGCTCCAGTGCTCATTGTTCTTGGTAAGAGGCAGAATCTGACAAGAAAATCTAAATATTACCTAGGAATCAAAGGTTTTAAAATGGAATACTAATGTACAAATGACTTTTGTACTTGTCTATCTTCAATTCTGAGTGATCTTCAAACGGACTTCTAACCTTTTGGCTTTACCAGTCTCACATGGTGTATAGTCCATGATGTACAAAAAGCTCAGTGTACCCGGGGCCTTAAGGTGAAAGGTACCAATGGGTAACCAAGATGCACATTTGTGGTGTGAATACTTGTCTTCTCATACTAGGACTCCTTGGGGGTGATGAACCCTTGCATTTGCTTCTCCATCAATTCCTGCATAATAGGGAGCTACCTGGACCATTTAACCAGAAAGAGTTAAGGCTTCACTACCTAAAGAAATGCCCACATCTTGAGGAATCATCTTGCCTGAAGTGCAGAGCAGAATGGGGAAGGGAGGACAGTATAGTCAGATTTGGGTGTTACCTCGATTGCCAGTTGGAACTGCTCGTGTTCCCTCTGCAGCTGCTCTGCTTCAGACAAAGAGCTGGCATTGACCAGGCTGGCATTGAGCATTGACTCCCCATTGCGGATCCATCCCAGGACCTAGGGAGTCAGGACAAGAACACAGGTGAATGGCCTTTGCAACGTCCCCAGAGCTCTTGCTTTCTCTGACTGGTCCTTCAGTCAGACCCTGCTATTTTCTGACCACACTTGGAGAGAGGACAGGAAGGCTCTGGATAATGCTCATCTCTGCAATCTTACCTGGCGCCACGTGCCATAAGGTTCTTATTGTAAGTATCAACCTCATTCTTAGATACATTTATTCTACTCTACCATTATTACCCCTCTGTCCCAATTTCCTCAGCCACTTAATTTAAACATTATCTGCTTGTATTGTATGTACACTTCTGAAGTTCAACATCCCACCATACTCTGTCCCCCCAAATGTAAACTTCTGGAAGACTAGGGCAATATACATGTCATGCTTTGTCTCACACAGTGCCTAGCACAGTGCCTTGCAGGTGGTGAGTATGCAGTAATGTTTTTGAAAAAGGGAATAATTATCTATTGTATAGACAATACCCAAATCACACCTGAACAAGTGGGTCCAACCTCTTATGCCTTGCAAAATAGTTAAAAGTAGACAAGTCTGAGCTTTGACAGGTCAATGACCCAAAGGAAAGAGGAGGGAGAAAGAAAACAAGTAAAACAGCATAAATAATCCATACACTGGATCATTAAAAAAAAAAAAAAAGGCAAGGGGAGAGGAAGTTATAATTGATTTATATTATCTAGAGGCAATGGCTAGGCTAAGTAAAATTTCTAGGTGACCTTAATTAGTACTGGAGAAAGAGAATTCAGTTATGGAATATTAGAATAGAAGGAGAAAGAGCTGACACTGTCTAGACAGTCCTAGGTGAAATGGACACGTGGCAATTCTCCAGCTAAGATCGAGTCAAGCAAATCATCACACTGGAAGAATCAGGCCTTAAAAATCTACCTTGCATCTTGTCACCAGAAAATTGCCAAATACTTTCTTTATTAGGGAGTCTAAGAGCCTGCTTGGAGAGGAAATAAAAATTCTTCTGAAATTTCAAGATCAGTACATATCATCCATCTGTTACTTTAAGGCAAAGGAGAAGATACCACAATCTGTTTCAGATTTTTGCAGACTTTTTTCCCCCTCTCAACTTCTTCATGTTCAACAGTTAGAAAAATACTAAGCCTGGGCTCTCCTATTCCACAATCCTCATAGGCAGTTCTCAAATTTCCTCCTTGGGCAGAAAATGACTGATGACATATTGTACATGGATAACACTAGGGCAAAAATCCTGTGGAAGCTGGGCTATTTTGATTGAGATGCTAACTCATGGCCAGTCTGGCAGATTGTGGATGAGATGCCAAATCTGTAAAGCAATTAGTCGCAGGAATACTGCTCAGAGTGTGTATGTGGGAAATGTCTGATGCCAGTGGGGTGTGGCTGGCTGGCTAGAGGTGCTAATGATTTCCTAAAGCCGCCTGTGAGTTTGGGTACATGCATACATGGATTGCATGGCCAAAAGCTTCAGCTCTTTGGAAAATGGAACTCACAATATATACTTTTGAACTATGCAAGTCCTTCTGCCATGCTTCATTGCATTTTGCTTAGTTCAAGATTCATTGGAGGGTGTCAGAGAAACATTTACTCTGTGTGCATCACAAATCAACGTTTGAGGGGCAATTTGACTCCCTCTGGGCCTCCTGAGTCTTGCTGGCATATGTTACCTTCTAGTTTCAGCCAACTGGAAACATCAATTATAGCTGTGGTGATGGGGATCTCCATTTACTAGGTTTCCATTTAGATATTATAGGCTCCAGTCTCTGCATCGTTCATTAAGTCATGCCATATCCTTGATATTCTTACTCATTTTGATCTTCCAAATGCTGTTTATAAAGGCATGTCAGGTCACCAGAGTGGGAATTTTGATTTTAGGAAGATAAAAATGCATGTTTATATCCATGGCTTAGGTTCAGGGGTGGGACTGATTCTTATACCTGAGTCAGTCCTCGAAGTAGGACTGGGATAGTGAAGAAAAAACACAAAGTCTGCAGTCAGAACACCTGGCTTTTTTTACTACCTGGAAAAACCACAAAACCCTCAGTTTTCTCATCTACAAAATTAACATAATAGTACCTTTCCTTTCTACATCAGGGCTGATAAGATGTAAAACCTGCCGATGGTAGAGGTGGTGATGTTTAGTTTTGGAGCAAAGCGAGGTAATGCTATGATTCTTCATTTACCCCTCTCACAGTGAGAAGAAAAAAAAAAAAGGCTAGGACTATTAATTTTTGTTCCAGTATTTGTAGAGCTTACTGGCAAATTCTGATGTGATGTGGGACCCTTGGCTGTTTTGTTACCACCATTCTTTGTAGTCTGATCAGTGACAACTCTTGTTGGTATAATTTTCTATTACTGTAGTCCTTTATTTTCTTGTCTCATAAAATTGGTTATTTATTCTATGAGCATCCAAATGAGTGCAAGGGAATAGAAGAAATACTGTCAGCAAAAATGAGAAAATGTTTTTCTAATCCTGTGTAATTTCAGAAATCTCATTTAATCTCTCTGAATCTCGGTTTTCTCATCTGCAAAATGGTAACACTTTGGTTGCTTAAGTCACAAAGAAAGACTAAATGAAGTAACCTAAAAGTGTTCTGCAAACCATAAAATGTAGTCCAAAACATGAGCATTTTATGTTGATCAATTATCTGAGGCAACGATTTACCTATAGGTTAGATGATCTTTGAGGGTCACTTTGAATCCTAACATTCCATACTTCTTTCAAAATTCAGAGGCCCTGCAAACCACAGGATACCAGAGAGAGTCAGGTGGGTAAGAATGAGGGACCAGAGGCATATCAGTGCTCAGGGACTCAGGAGCTGGCCAAGAATTCAGCTCAGTCAGAGCTGAGATGGCAAACTGAAAATGGGGATTTACTGCTTCCTCAGGCTAAGAAAGCTCAGGTAAACCCCAGTGAGAAGACTGGATTTGGTTAACTGGACGTGGATGTCCACAAATGATGATGCCATCTCAGTGGGGCAAGCTGTACCCTGTAACCACACAGGCTGGGAAGCTGTTTGTATATGGTTCTCTAGGTCACATTCACAATGAAGCTATGAAGATGCCCTCAAGGCCTCTGACTCTAAGACCAGCTGTTGCTGATGACTTATCACAAGGCACAGTCATTTCTGAAAGTCTGACCGCAGGAAAAATTGCCCACCCCTCAGATGGTAACTCAGAGCCTGTCATATTTCCAGCACTTCTTAGTTCTAGAAATTCACAATTTAAGAGATTGTATATGTGATCATCCTTCCTGGTTTTATAGACTGTGACCATGTCTTCTTAATTATCTCCATTTTGAAACAAATGGACAGTACTTGTCCCTTTGGTCTACCCCAACTCTTTTCTACCCCAACTCTTTTCTACCTTTATGTGTGGTGAACAGAATTGAACACAGTATTCTTGACAGGATCATAGTTTCTCCTTTGTTTTCAATGTCCCTTTTGTTCATAAGCAAGTTTTGGGCAGTATTTGGTCCACAGGAGTAATGAAAGTCAATGCCTTTAGTAGACAAATAAGTATGATTTATTTCCCCATAGCTTAGAGCCCCAATATCTTACAAATCCATTTTGGCCTATTTTCTGCTAAATGCACTGTTCTGGGGTAATACATATGGAAATTCACTTAGTTTTATGCCCATTGAGTAGGTTTTTCAAATCTTCTTGGATTATCTAATAAATGTGAGGTCATCTTTATCAGAGCAGTAATTTTCCTGGAAAGCAATCAGAGAATGCTGTGGGACTACAGAGTAATCTGAACCACTTTTCTAGAAGAAAGGGGGCATCTGAGTGGTCTAGGGCCCTGGACCATGGGCTATAATCAGGGGAGTGGTTTTCCTTAAGCAGTCAACATTTCTCCAGAGGTGTTTGGGCCATTTATCTAAGATACAGAGTCCTATGTAATCCCTCAGAAAGAACACAGGTTGCATTAAACAACTTCATTTGTTCTCAATACTCGAAAATAATTTTCAGTCTAACATCCATAGCATCATCTCTCCTCAAAGCTTACGTTTAATATAATTGTGGTGTAACTACATAACCATAGGTTATGATGGCCAAATCTAAACTTTTCATCTATGAGCTCTAACGACAGAGCTGTGTAACAGCACATTGTGGGTCTCTTCCTTTCCGTCCCCATTAATGGCATTTCAGTTAAGGTGTCCTTTTTCTTTTTTTCTTTCCTTTTTTTTTCTTTTAGTATTTTCAAAAGAGAAACTCTCAAGCTGGTGTCTAAATTTAGCTCCACTGATCAATACTGACATCTAAATTAACTCCCTCTTTCCAAGTGTCAACAGCTTTCAAATCAATATTTCCTGCTCCACCAACTTCCATCAAACACAAATGCCTTCTCTGAAACTGGATCAGACGACTCCCAAAAGAAAGAGCCCTACACTGACAAGGAAAACAAGTCTGCCTAATGAGGCATGGTGGCTTAACTAAGCAGCAATCCCTTGGCGCCTCCCAGGACCTCTGTCCTTCCCGAAGGCCTTCGTGGGTTTCTTGCAGTCTGACTTAAGCAATCCAGTATGGTTTTGAACTACAATCCCATATGTGTCATCTTCACCTGCTGGGGAGAAGCCATTTGCTGCTGCAGAAGAATTTTTTGTCTTCCAACTCACGAAATACTGAATGGGAATGTATCCAGATACTAGTCAAGCCTGGATTATTCATATATAGACATCCCACTTCCCCATTTGATAAAGTACCTATCATCATCCCAACTCCCCATTCTACACAGAATGTATACTTAGAGGATGAAAATTCATTTCCATTTCCATACCAGTCAAGAAAAACGTAATTAGGGTGTGAGCTCTATTATTAATGTTGGAGCAAACAATAAAATTAAAAACCAGGAACAAAACAAAAGTATATATTTCATTTCACAGTCAAATAGGAATGATTTTCCTGTTACTCTGTTTGGATGATCTCTCCCGCCACCTTCGGCTGATGGGAACAACTATGCATGAACGACGGAGGACTCCCATGACCTGTTGGAGTGTGTTGATTGATGAGGCAGGCGCCTTGTGCCAGGCAGAGGCCGTACCTGCCTGTGCTCTAATATGTAGTGCTGTGAAGGCCAGGAAGACCCCCAGGCTGTGTTCTGCTGGAGGGCTGCTTCCTATTTCTCCTGGAGCCCGAGGGCAAGAGTGAGGCCCAGGAGAGGCAAACTGTGGAACTGTGGATAAAGGAAGCTGGGCTGAAGTTTCAGCTAAGCAGTCAACAGGCCCTGGCAGCACTAACCCAATGCCGCCTCAGTTTCCCCATCTGTGAAATAAACAGACACTCCTTTTTCACCATGGGTCTCTTCTCTTAAAATGAGATTATAGGGGCACCTGGGTGGCTCAGTTGGTTAAGTGTCCGACTTCGACTCAGGTCACGATCCCAAGGCTTGTGAGTTCAAGCCCCGCGTTGGGCTCTGTGCTGATAGCTCGGAGTCTGGAGCCTGCTTTGGATTCTGTGTCTCCTCCTCTCTCTGCCCCTCCCATGTTCATGCTCTGTCTCTCTCTGTCTCTCAATAATAAATAAACGTTTAAAAAGTTTATTTTAAAAAATGAGATTATAAATGAGGAAGTATTTCTCATATGAAGAGTAAGCACTATCATTACTACCAAAAGCTTCAGAACTTGTATACTCATCACTGCTCTGGGTCTGCTAGGATTTCCACCACGTTCCTGTGAATAACACATCTCTCCAGAGATTTAGGAGTGGTCCCAACGTAATTACACAGAAAACAGCCTGGATGGCAGCCCTGTGATTCTGCCTTACTTGGCACTCAGTGATCTCATCTGCACAGAGGACAGATCTTTAGCACAGCATATGCGGGCTCTGGCTGAGCACTGATCGGGAGAAGCAGAGCACAGAAGACAATTTTGTGCATTATAATAAATAACAATATAATAGCTAAGACCTAGGCATTAACAAGAAATACTCTGGATATAAAACAACAGTAATGATTAAATTAAAAAGGTGTCTTTGTCCCCTATACTAAATTAATAGAGTTAAATACGACAGTGTAGCAGCCACACTACATAAGAAAAAATGTTTGGCAGGAAGATGTTTCTCTGCTTAGGATACGTTGGGCAGGGCTCTGCCTACAGGGTGCAGGGGTCAGGATTGCTTGAAAGAGTGTGGAGCACAGGGAACACCCACAAAAGTGCCATGGAGCCCACCCTGCCAGGAAGCCCTCCTGGAGCAGTGGAGGGTAGTAACATGCTCTTCCATCAGTGTGACCACTGTTTGGTGACCTCTCTAGGCTTCGGGGCCCTCATCTGTAAAATGGAAATGGTATCTGCTTCGGAGAACGGTTGGAGGATTGATGGAGAGACAGATGTAAATGGTACACAGCACTCAACAAATTGAACTATTATATTTGTATTTCTTCAATCCCACTTTGTCTCAATAAAAAAAATCTCCATTCATTATGCTAATAATTAAAATTTAGTCTGTTCATAATATAAATATGTAATATTTTTGTTTAATTCTTTAAAATTTTACTATTTTTTAATGTTTATTTTTTTATTTTGAGACAGAGAGAGACAGAGAGACAGAGCACAAGTGGGGGAAGGGCAGAGAAAGAGGGAGACAGAATCTGAAGCAGGCTCCAGGCTCTGAGCTGTCAGCACAGAGCCCGATGCAGGGGCTCAAACTCACAAACTGTGAGATCATGACCTGAGCTGAAGGTGGACACTTAACCGACTGAGCCACCCAGGTGCCCCAACATGTAATATTTTTAAAATGTGTCATTGGTTACTATGTTTTCCTAGGGGTTCCTAGAGGTCTGGGTACGTCCTTTGGTAAAATGTTTAGTATAATGTCTCATACAGATAAAAAATCTTTTTTTTTCTAAATTGACTTTAATATGGCAAAAAAGTTTCTTATAAGAACCACACACATGTTGAAAAGAACAATGGGTGGGGCGCCTGGGTGGCTCTGTCGGTTAAGCGGCCGACTTCGGCTCAGGTCATGATCTCACGGTCCGTGAGTTCGAGCCCCGCATCGGGCTCTGTGCTGACAGCTCAGAGCCTGGAGCCTCCTTCAGATTCTGTGTCTCCCTCTCTCTGACCCTCCCCTGTTCATGCTCTGTCTCTCCCTGTCTCAAAAATAAATAAACGTTGAAAAAAAAAATTAGAAAAAAAAAAAAGAAAAGAACAATGGGAACTGCTACCACTCAGTGACTCTCAACGCTGCGTCAGGTGTTGCAGTAGGCACGCAGGTGCCCCAAGGTAACCAACCTGGCTCAAAAGCCTGACTATGTTTATTGATGAAGGATATGTATTTCACATGAGCTGTGTGTCAGGCTTGAGGATAGAAAGGAAGAGAACAGGTTCAGTGACTGAGGTCAACTTGGGAAAGCTCCGGAAGTCTCAGGAGACTGTTGGAGAGAAAACTAACACATCTGTAGTTTGAGGCTTGCGCCATCAGATCTAGTCGTTAGATCCAGTAGACAGATAGCAGCGTCACTTTCAAAACCAAATGACCACTCCTTAACTCACCTGTTTTCTGCATTTGGGTTACACCAGTGGCTCTGCATGCCTCACCCCGTACCAGGAGCAGGGCCCGGCCAGGTGGGCAGCCCAGACCAAGGGAGGAAGGTGTTGGGGCCAGGCTCACCTGTTTGACCTCGGCCTGCAGGTGCCGCAGCTGGAGGCACTGCTCTAACCGCTTATGGGTCTGCTCTGCGTTGAGCTCCAGTTCGTGCTGCTTCTCATGGAGAAACTCCAGTAGCTCTTGTACCTGGGCTGCCAGATCGATGTCTTTCTCACAGATTAACTCAATTCCTGATTTAAAACACACGTAAAAACAAATAAAAATAGTACTATAAAGACGACATTTCCTTCAATAAGCAGAGGAGAGCTGAATGTGGAAACAGCCGCGAGCAGGACCCTCCCAGCCTTCACACATCCCTCTGTGAAACCAGACAGTGTCATATTGAACCTTTGTTTGGGATGTTCAAACCATGCAACCTCTTTTGGATTATCTGATCCTTTGTCTGGGAATTTCATCAGCTGCTTATTATCAGCCGGAGTTACAGAGAGGTGGTTCTCAGGGTGTCCATCCCCAGAGAAGAAAGCACTAGTAGGAACTGTTGGGGGTTTGCTAACACCTACAATATTCACAAGCAAGGCTCTCAATCATATTGGGAAATACAATACAAAACAAACAAAAAAAAAAAAAACAACCAAAAACAAAAACCAAAACCTCTCTCCATAACTTCTGCCAAAGGCAGAGTCTTTTAGCCGGTCAGACGCAATTTATAATTAGATGGCAAGTTTGTTCTGACGAGTCTCTGGGCAGTGGCGATTTTATTAATCAACAGCTTAGGTCCCCTAAAAAGGCAACTCTTAGAAATGCCCATGCTAGCTGTCATATACTGTTTCTCAAACACAGGAAAATACACCTGATAAATATACCCCAGAAGTACCACATGGGTCCTGACTGCTTATCCATTTACAAAAACCATGTTAAAGTTGTGCCCACACAAGGAGAGTTTGCTCACCATCCTTCTGCTTATTCAAAGCAATGAGTAAGCCCAGGCAGCCACTGACAAGCATTCCCAACATTTATGGATATGTCACCCAGCATTAATAAGCGGCCAACCATCTGACCTGTGATGGGGCCTCCAGTCAATACTCACTACACAGAAGCTGTGGCTCATTCCTTGTCCATCCACCTCTCCACCTTCCTTACTTTTTCCATATACCTCTCCCAACAGACAGGTGTGGACACACACACTCTTTCTCTCCACCAAGCCAGTGCTCCTATTTATACGTCAGCAGCAGACAGACTAGAGGAGCCTTCCTCAAACAGATCTGTGTTTCAGGATGGATTATTAAAACTCTGACAGAATGAGGGGACTGCCTTAGTTATCACAGGCCTACTTGTCTGCCAGTGGCTTGAATTTGATTCCTTCCTTAGCTCTTGAAGACCACATGAAAAGTGTGCTAGCTTTGGAGCCAGTCCTGAGTCAGGATTGTGAACATGGGCAAATTATCTAAGCTATCAGAAGCTTCACTCTTCTCACATGTAAAATAGGACTTTACATACGTACTTGTCTCATAAGCCACCTGCTCAGGGGCTCCTTGGGAGGATTAAATGAGATAATGCACGTAGAGCATCCATCACGTAACATAATAAACATAGACCTCGCTCCTTAGTCCCATGGCTTTCCTGATTCCTGACTCTTAAACTCTCAACTCTCTGCCTTCTTATATTCATGCCCTCTTGGTTGCTATCTAACTCCAACTTGATGAAAATTATAACCTGTATTGTTTCTTGGTTCCAATTATCCACCTAGTTCTAATTTTGAACCTTGCTCAGACCCACAGCTTTAGAAAAATCCTTTTTATTTTTAATTAAAAACAATTTTTAAAATTTATTTCCTTCAAGAGAGAGCAAGTGGGGAGGGGCAGAGAGAGGGAGAGAGAGAATTCCAAGCAGGCTCCATACTGTCAGTGAGGAGCCCGATGTGGGGCTCGAACTCATGATCCCTGAGATGAAGACCTGAGCTGAAATCGAGAGTCGGATGCTCAACTGACTGAGCCACCCAGGTGTACCAGCTTTAGAAAATCCTAACTCAGGATTGCTTGCCTCCTTCTGATCCCTGACACCACTTGGCCCTGCAACTTCTCAGTTCCGTTCAGATCCTTTCCCCAGCTCCTCATCCTCGAGTCTATGACCCAGTGAAGCTCACAAATAGGGAGTCACCCATCAATGGGGTTGGGACTAAAATTCCCAGCAGATAAGTCACAAAAGGCTAATGTACTTCCATGGGGATCACAACCCAAGCAGCCTGCCAATCCCAATGTACAGTCACATGAAAACAAGTCCCCTTTGGGAGACATCCCCATCACTCTGACTCACATCTTCAGAAATTCATTACCATCACCACCAACACACCTGCCGGATACGGGGAGGAGGAGTATAAAGAGAGTGTACACGTGCTAAAGGAACTTCATTTCTAGAGGCAAAAAATAGGGTTTTATATAAGGACAATATGGAAGAGTGGGAAAAATTTCTTTTCTGGTGTTACATGGTAATAATTTCAGTATCTTTTCATGTTTATTTTTTTCTACCAGTTTCATAATTCCAAATCCCAGCTCCTGAAATATCTGTAGGAGACAGAAAAGAACGGCTTGTTCTTTTGGCAGTCAAGTCCCTGAAGTTACTATTTTCATTTACCAAGGGGACAAGGTAGAGCATCTCCTTGACTGAAAGGAAAAATAAGAACACAAAAATTCCTATCTCTGCAGTGCTCAGCATAGTGCAATGACCCTTGGCCTCCATATTTACTTTCTGGAAATGTAATTTAAGATACATCTGCAGAAGCAGAAACTCTTCCCTGGTTCCAGCCACAATGCAGGTTTTTTCCAGCTTGTTTTCATTCCACATGCATCTGTGGTGTTTAGTATGCTAGGCTTGGACAAAGTGTCTTTCTCTGGGAAGCCCATGGCTCACCTCTGCCACATGGCATGTAAATGGGCCCTCTAAACTGGTAACTCATCAAAGCGGCCAGCACCTGCTTAGGATACCATCCAGAGCCGGCTCCCAGCCTGCCCCGAGACCCAAGCCCTTCACCTGCACCTACCTCCCTTGATATTATTTTATGAGAGATGAACACAGGAAATAAAATGGGTGAAGACCATGCTTACTGCACTTCTGTGCACAACAACACATCGTGTTGTAGATGAAGTGAATGGGAGGTACATCAAGTGGCACCTAGAAGGAGAGAAGCTCACCCCTCCCTCCCAGTGCCTCCAAATGCATCGGCATGAGTCCCAGTCAGAACTCATCAACTGGTAAATATCCATCAATCAACAGCAAATGGAGTTTGCTTGTGTTCACATTACTGTTCTCAATTTAGTCATAGTCCTGTTTTCCTAGGGGCTCTCCGAAATGCAGCAAGACACATTTGTCCTTTCCATCAAGCAGTGAACCTATCTGTAATGAAACAGTTTGTCAGTCTCTTTAGGGCAAGTTGTGTTGATGTGTCCCACAATATTTTCTTTTTTCTTTACTTTTTTCTTTACTTTTTTCTTTTCTTTTTTCTTTTTTTAACTTTTATTCATTTTTTGATAGAGACACTCTGTCTCTATCAAAAAATGATGAGTGGGGGAGGGGCAGAGAGAGAGGGAGACACAAAATCCGAAGCAAGCCCCAGGCTCTGAACTGACAGCACAGAGCCCGACATGGGGCTCGAACTCACAGACGGTGAGATCACGACCTGAGCTGAAGTCGGACGCTTAACTAACTGGGCCACCCAGGCGCCCCGTGATGTGTCCCATGGTATTTTCTACCAATCCTTCCACCAGAACACTGTTGGGGGTGTTCCCTCATGAATTTGTCCATGTTCTCACAGGAATGCAGGCTCCCTGGTGCTACGGCCACATGTCTTATATATCTATGCATCTTTAGCACCTAGCACAGTGTTTGACTCATAACACCCAATAAATACCTCTTCAGTGAATGTATGGGCCTCTCCAGGAAAGGGCTCAGGTCATGTCCTACTGTGGAAAGCATCTGCGAACTCTGGGAAAGGACAAACTTAGGTTTGAATCTATGCTCTGCCCCCTATTAACAGTGAATTTCCAGGCTCGAAATCCTCTCTGAGCTTGGGTAAAAACAATCCCAACAATGTCTTCTAGGGGTGTCATAGGACTAAGTAAGTTTAGGGATATACAGTGCCTGGCATTTAGTAGGCTCAAAATATCTGTGTTCCCACTTTTTCCTTTCCCTTGAGTTAATTACAACATATTCATTGTTGATTACCAATGGAACCATTGAAAGGCTTGTAAAAATGTAAATATAAAATCTTATTGTGAGGTGTTTATGGACTTGCTCAGTGCACATCATTAGAAACTGTGATGGTCTAAATGCTATTAGACCACTGCTCTCAATTTTGAATCACTTTAGATCTGGAGAATTTTAAAAATTGCCATGCCCTGGCCACACCCAGGAGACTGTCTTGGTGGGGGACCTGGTCACCAGGAAGTCTTAATCTCCTGTGGTGATCCAAACACACAACCAAGATGGGAAACCACTGGATAAGAGGGTATAGTGGCCAGCAATCCAGGGACAGAGATATTCTTTATGCTACACTCAGTCAGCAGAATGATCCACACTGTGTTTGTTTAGAGCTTGAGGCCACAACTAATAATGTGACTATACTTACCTTTGCTGCCGGGTTGAGGGTACCACTTAAACTTCCTCCAGGAGAGAGGTGCTTGTGGTCTAGGGTAAGGTATAGGTATTCTTGGCTATGCTACTCAGAGATATGTCTTTCAACTCTTTGTGTGTTCTTTAAACATCAGCCTGCCTCCAATAGAGAATATACTTTCTCTTTTCTCCTCCCCTCCTCACTCCTCTTTCTGTGCAATTCCCTCAATGTAACACCCAGTTCAGCAATTACAAAATCTTTTAATCGGGTTTTTAGAACAGCATTCTCAACCCTGGCCATATATTAGAATCACCTGGGAAGTTAAAAAAAAAAAAAATCTGGGCCCACTCCAGACCAATTAAGCAAGAATCCCTGAGGAATGGGGCCCAGACCGTGGTACTTTTAAGTTCTGAAGGTGATTCTAAATATGCAGCCAGGCTAAGAACCATTGTTTTACATCTAAGTTCTCTTCCCCTCCACTCAGCCCCCATCAGATCCACATTTCCATTAACCCTAGAGTAGCTCCTCTTTTGGAAAAAACACAAGGCTTTTCTTTCCTTTTATAATGCAAGTGAAATTATTTATGGCCCATTATTTTTACACATCTCTTCCACTGCATTGATGTTCACTCCATTAACTAAGCAAATACTGTTATTGAGAACTTGCTGTGAGTACAAGACATAACCACTCTGCTAGATGCTGGGAATGGAAAGAGAAGGAAGAAAGAGTCCTGCCCTCAGGCTGCTGGAGAAGCTGCAGGAACACATAACTGCAACAGAACACAGTATGTGCTAGAACACAAGTGCAATATGTCATAGTTATCAAACTTTCTTGAACCCTTACCATGCTCACACATTATCACATTCCATCTTCACGATGACCCTACGTGGTGGGTATTCTTATGATTGCCATTTTCCAGGGAAGGTGAGGCTTGGAGAGATGGGGCAGCATGTTCAAGCACACCCAGGCAGGGAAGGGTACGGCTGGATGCCAACCCAGGCACTCTTCCTGTCCCACCTGTACTCTAAGCTCTATGCTCAAGGAGGAGAAGAGTGATCCCCACCAAACTTATTTTTATTGATATTCAAATTCCAGGGGTGGGTTCTTCCCAAGCACAGTAAATTTTAAGTATCATTGCCACAGATCCCCAAAAGTTTTCACTTTAAAAACCTCACATAAAGAAAGAGCTTGAGGGGTACTTGGGTGGTTCAGTCGGTTAAGTGTCCGACTTTGGCTCAGGTCATGATTTCATGGTTCATGAGTTCAAGCCCCCCATCTGGCTCTGTGCTGAGGGTGCGGAGCCTGCTTCAGATTCTCTGTCTCCTGTCTCTGTCTCTCTCTGCCCTCCCCCACTCATGCTTGTGCACTCTCTCTCTCTTAAAAATAAACATAAAAAAAAGAGCTTGATGCTTTGATTAAACCACAAAAGCAACATATCCATTGGACATGCAGCTCTTCTTATTCTCTTCTTATAAGGTCACATGTAATAGCCACATGGTCAGATTTCATTGGAGAGAGCTGTGGCATGGCCAACGGGGGTGCTTAGGCTGAATCATCATGGCAAGTAAGAGTTGGAGAGGACTTTAGGAATCCAGGCCCACCTCCCACACTAGACAGAAAAAGAAAGGTCTAAAGAGAAAGAACAGGAACTTCCCAAGGCAGACTGTTTGCTGATAGTGGATTTGGACCTTGACTTCACCTGTATGTTTTCTCTAACTTGACTCTTTCCAGCAAAACCTGGCACCTCCCAACTTGAGGCTGAAATAGATAATGCTAGAGTGAGGGAAGAACCATGAGCAAGTGAAGAAAGTGTTCAGGATTCGCCTTTTAGTCCTAAGGCTAATGCTGACTTAAGCAACGGCTTTTGCTTTGGTTACAGCTGTGGGCACACCAGAGGGATTTAATGGAACCTGCCTCAACGTTACAGATTTCACACCTGAAAATAAATATGTGGAGATTCCCTACTTCCATTTATTCCTATAAAATCTAAGCATAAGCCCTTAACTAATTTAGCATGGAGGGCTAAACACCAAATGCTTAATTTTGTTAACTGTCCTTTTTCTACAACAACAGTTTATTTACCCTTTGCTTCAAATATAGTTTATTAAACACACATTATAAATGACTAAGACATTTATTGCCTCAGTCCTGTGTCTCTGAAGTCATGCATTCTTCAACCACCTGGGGGGCAAGACCCACCCTGAGTTCACCCCAACCTTCACCCCACCCCCCAGCCCTGTTGCAACTCTGATCTCCCTTCTTCCACGCCGGAGAGGAGGTAGATGCATTCTCTGCAGGACCAGGCATTCAGCAGCAGACAGGAAGTGAGCTTGCATGAAACCCTTGGATTCATTCCCTTTGAAGCCTCATGGACTATGCCAGACTGATTAGCTAGCTGTGGTAGGAACGAGGGAACAGCCAGTCCCAGCAGAGAGGGCTGAAGAGGCCAATCAAGCCTCTTTTGACAAAGCTCATTTCTGGATCAGGATACTGTGGGTGTGGGCAGCGCATCTGCCTGGGGTGTTTTCACCTACTTAGCCCTCAAGGTTAAGGAAGCCACCAAGCACAGCTGACCCTCAGTCACAAGCAGCTTCAGGGACTGCCAGCTCCTGGTAGTCTTTCTGTTACCATGGATACCTGGCTCTTGGGACAGAGATGGGCTTGCCCAGGTCATGTCAGCCCCCTGCTATAAAGTGCTGCGGTTTGTAGGCAGACAAGCTTTCCTCCTGCCAGATGCATCAATACCGAGGGACGAAGGGTGAGCATCCCTGCCAGGCTTCTCTATCCCAGCTTCTCTCCTATGTACTAGGTGTACATTCTCTCCTGGTTCCCAGCCTGAGCTGGATAGCCAGCTATTGTGAGCACCCTGAGGGCAAGCTCTAAGGTGAAACCCTGAGTCCAGATAAGGCTCTCAATCACAGAAAGGATCATTGTTCCCCCCTCCTTCCCTAATAAGACCTTAAAGATGTACAAGCCATTACCAACCATGCATCTCAAATTTTAACGTGCACATGATAGACTTGGAGATTTTGTTAACGTACAGATTGAGATTTGTAAATCGGTGATAAGGGCTGGGATTCTATGTTTCTAATCAGCTCTCAAGTGATGCTGGTGCTGCTGGTCCAGGGCCTACACTCTGAGTAGATCCTAGATCAGTGGTGCATTCAAACCACCTAGAGGGCTTGTTGAAACACAGATTGTCAGGCCCCACCCCAAGATTCTGATGTGGCAGGTTGTATAGGCCCTCAAACTTGCAGTTTTTACAAGTTCTCTGGGGATGCTGATGCTGCCAATATGGGGACCACACCTGAAAGTTCCTGTCCCAGGGCACGCCAGACATCAGCTCTTGTGATTTAATCATCATGATAAAAGCAGTGGTTCTCAGCTCTGGCTGCACAGTGGAGTCACCTGAGGAGATTTTGCTGACGCGCAAGACCCATTCAGAGGTAGTTAAATCAGAATATTTGCACTTGGGGCCTGGCACTGCCATTTTTTTTTTTTTTTTTAATTTTTTTTTCAACGTTTATTTATTTGTGGGACAGAGAGAGACAGAGCATGAATGGGGGAGGGGCAGAGAGAGAGGGAGACACAGGATCGGAAACAGGCTCCAGGCTCTGAGCCATCAGCCCAGAGCCTGATGCGGGGCTCGAACCCACGGACCGCGAGATCGTGACTTGGCTGAAGTCGGACGCTTAACCGACTGCGCCACCCAGGCACCCCATGGCACTGCCATTTTTAAACGAGTGCCCAGAAAGACTGCAATGTGAATGGCCCTTCTTGGGGCTATGCGGGGCACAGTCTACACCCTGGAAACAAGCCTGGGCAGCCGCAGCTGTTCACAACACAAATGAAAATTCACGGCAAGATTATGCTGAGCAAAGTGAACAGAATTTACCAGATTGTCTCTCCTCTGGTTAGAAGTGAAGTTTCTTTGAATGTTGTTATTTATTCCTTCAGGTCATTCAAACAAACACAGTAGCCTACAGTCAAGTTTGCTTGCAGGCTAACGTCTGCCTGACACTCTCATGATTCTAAACATCCTTCACGGTCAACAGGGACATGGACCAACTGTGTTTTAAAGAGCTGATGGTCTGAGCCCCTGTCTGCTTCTTCCTGGAGGGTGAGAAACCTGAGCCAATAAGGACCCAGTGGTGAAAGCAATGAGTGGGTCTAGGTGGAGAGACTGTGTTCCAGCACTCTACTGTTCATGTGCCCCCATGAGTGACTTCTTGTCTTCTGGACTAGCTGGACCATGGGACAGCTATGGCTCTCTCCAGTTCTAACACCAAAGGCCATTTTGGAGAGTGGCAGGTGTAACAGGAAGGGTTCATGTATTTGTTGGGTAAATAGTGAATAAATCTTGAACACGAAAAGAAGTGAAATCTGGGTAACTCAGCCTTGTTTTTTTGAGAAGTTATAAAACTACACGACCTTGCCATAAATTTTTATTATCACTTCTTACACTGATGCACAGACCAGTGATAAAGAAAACAGGTCTCTGAGAGGCCTGAACCAGAGACCTGGAGCCGGCGCTGGGGTTGGAGGATAGAGCAGAAGAGGGAGGTTGGGGAGCAGAAGTGCCATGTCTACACATTTGAATACAATTCGCATGGCTGCCTGGCTGCTTTTGGAGCCCCTTTGGTTTGTCCCTGCAGGCCGCCATTTGTTTTTTAATCTGCGCTAATTTCCATGATTTGTGTTCCCCATTCTCTACACAGCACCGGGAGACTGTGGCCCCATCCTTATCTTCTTTTTTTAATGTTTATTTTTGAGAGAGAGACAGAGACAGAGTGCGAGTGGGGAAGGGGCAGAGAGACAGGGGGACTGAGGATCTGAAGCAGGCTCTGCACTGACAGCAGTGAGTCCGACTGGGGCTCGAACTCACGAACCATGAGATCATGACCTGAGCCGAAGTCAGACGCTCAACCGACTGAGCCACCCAGGTGACCCAAACCTATCCTCATCTTTACTGGTGCCTAACGGGGCAATCTCAGACATGTTATTTCAGCTCTCATGCTTTAATTTTCTTTTCTTTAAAATGGCAAAAATCTCTGTTCCTGTGTCGGAGGGTATAGAATGAATGCACAGAGTACGAGTGCTGGTTGGAGTCAAGCTGGCATTCTTGTTTTCATCACCTCCCTGCCAGAAGGAGGAGGATGGGAGAGGTCACTTGCCTGAGGCCTGGACCTCCATGATGTACTGGTGCAGATCCTGACCCTGCTGGATGACCTCGAAGGTCATGTTGTTCATGGCCAGCTTCCGCTCCGTGTGGCGTTGCAGCCGCTGCTCCGCGAGCGTCAGATCCTCTGTATTGAAGTCATTCATCTGCCGGAGCAAGTCTTCATTCCAGGCGTCTAGCTCTGCTGTCACCTGTTAGGGAACGACCGTCAGTATAGGCTCTCAGGTCCGTGAGAGCCTGCTGAGCTGAAGCTCACCCATTCCAAGCCCATGCATGGATGGACCCATCCCTGCTTTGCATCTGTCTGACTCCTAAACTCATTTAAGCACCAGTGCCACACCCCCACATATGCACACCTGTAATTGTGTTCATGCCTCCGTGTGTTTCGATGTCGACAGCAGCACAGGAACAACAGTAAATGTTGGATGGTAAGTTACCGTTTATAAAATTTTTGCCTACCCCATTCTATTCCACCCCCACAATGACCCAGACGGGCCCACGGGGTGGAGATCTCCAGGTCCATCGTACTGAAAAGGAAGCTGGTGTTCACTCAGACAGATGGAATCTGTCCAGAGTTCACCCTGCTAGTGAGGAACATACCTGTGGATATAACTCAATTCTTTTTCTTGGTCCAACATACCACAGTGTTACTCAAAAAATCTCATCACTGGAGAGGACCTCAGAAATTAAATATCTAAGTCTCACTGTTTCTGAGAAACAGAAACTGAGGGCTGGAGAAACCCGTGAATGGCCCCAGGTTACACAATCAGAGCTGGTATACATCAAACCCAGGGGCCCCATGTGGTTCCCTTGTTCTGTTGTGCAGGACTCTCTGCCTGCAAAGGCTAATCCCTGGAGATGATGACTAAAGGTGGAAACAAGAGCAGACTTCTAGAAATCCAAGCAGATATATGCTATAAAAAGGCATGATTCTAATGAAGACTGAAGCATGTAACGAATGAAAACCCTGCCCTAAGACAAACTTGCCAACTGGTTACTGCTCTGTACCTTCACCCATGTGACTTCCCCTGGCTCACCCTCGAACACATGACTGCACAGAGAGACTGAATCCTACACTTCCTCTACACTAGCTGCCGTCATTCACAGACGGGAACTCGGCAGTACTGAACAAAAGCAATTCCACCTGATCTGTGAATCAAAGAACTCTTCTGACATGGTTTTCAGGGTCGCTGTCTCATGCTCATACCCCCAGGTGGCCCTGTGAAGGAAATGGCACAGGGACCATCACCTTCTTTTCTGAGAAGAGGGAATGAAAGCCTCACTCCACATCAGACAGTTGCAGTATGGCCCAGGCAGCCTAGGCATGAATCCTAGACACTCCCCCCTGCTGTCCCCTTCAGTGATTTCCATTATTATGCATCTCCCCCCCCACCCCCACAACCACTGACCTGTGGCTGACAACTACTACTGCTCCAGGAACGTCTGGGGACAGAGGGAGGGAGAAGACCAGCTTGAGGCAGCTGGGAGATGGCACACTTCTATCCTGTGCTGGGGCCATGCAGACTGGAATGGGATAGACAAGTGGTCTGGCACAAGGGGCTGACATCTGGGGCACACAGGACTTCATTTTTTGTCTAACAGTAAGACCTTTCTTCATGGAAAGGGTAGTTGCTGTCTTGGAAGCAAAGATGGGGGAATTGTAAAAATACCACCTTTCCCGTCCTAGGTTCCCACCTCATTGCCCCACATCTTTTCAGGTCAACTAAGGGATCCATTGAGCTCAGCAGGAAAACCTAGTATCTATTTATCTTGGGGAGTTCTTGGGGATCTGGGAACCAGCAGGTTGACAGACAAAACAGGATTTTGTTGTATTCCATCTTTTAAAAGTACTTTTCTAACTAGAGTAAGGAATTAAAATGAGAATAAGAGAGATAATTGATTTATAATTTATAGGATGAATAGGCCTGTATATAGACTAGGCCCATATATGTTTTTCCTTCATGTATTTAAGAAAGTTTAAGTATAATTTACATAACAATAAAATGCACATATTTAACTAAGCATTCAGTTCTATGAGTTTTGACAATTTTATACACCCATGTGGCCGTTACCAAAAAACAAAATATGGACCTTTCCATCACCCTAGGGAGTGTGCTTGTGCCCTTTTCCAGTCAATTCCTGCCAACCTCCACTCCTTGACATACCTCTGGTACCATATTCTGATTTTTATCACCATGGATGTAGTTTTGCCTATTCTTGGATTTCATACTAATGAAATAGTACAGTATGCATTCTTTCAGGTCTGCCTTCTTGTATTCAACATGCTATATTTATTTATTTTTAATGTTTATTTATTTGAGAGAGAGATAGAGAGCAGTCAGGGGAGGGGAAGAGAGAGGGAGACAAAATCCCAAGCACGCTCCATGCCTCCAGTGCAGAGTCTGATGTGGAGCTTGAACTCACGAACCATGAAATCATGACCTGAGCTGAAACCGAGAGTTGGACGCTTAACCAACTGAGCCACCCAGGTACCCCAACATGCTATATTTAATATTCATCCATATTGTCATGTGTATGAGTAGTTCATTCTTTGCTACTGCTAAATAGTATTCCATTATATAGATGTATCACAATTTATTTATCCATTCTCTGGCTGATGAACGTTTGGGTTATTTCTCAGTTGTTTCCAGTGTTTGCCTATTATAAGTATAGCTGATGTGAACATTCTTATACAAGTCCTTCTGTGGACATATGTTTTCATTTCTCTTGAGAGTTGCCTGGGAGTGAAGTCATAGGGTCACAAGGTAGGTGCATGTTAAACATTCCCAACAGCAATTTTACATTCCAGTAGGAATGTGTGAAAGTTCCAGTTGCTCTATATCGTCACGATCATTTTGTATCATCAGTCTATTTAAATTTAGTCATCCTGGGGGGCATGAAGTGATATCTCATTATGGTTTTAGGATACTAATGATGGTGAGCACATTTTTCATATGCTTATTGGCCATTCTTATCCACTTTTGCAAAGTGTCTTTTGACATCTTTTGGCCAGTTCTCAAAAACTAGGTTAATTATCTTTTGCTCATAGATTTGTAAGAGTTCTTTTTTTAAAAATTTATTTAAATTTTAGTTAGTAAGCATACAGCACAAGATTGGTTTCAGGAGTAGATTTCAGTGATTCATCACTTACATACAACACCCAGTGCTCACCATAACACGCGCTCATAAGAGTTCTTAATATATCCTGGATAAGTCCTTTATCAGATATTGTACTGACAACAGCCAAATAAATTTTTTTAGCCTATTTCCTGACCTATAAACTAAAGAAAATTAGAATAAAACAAAGACAACAAGCATGAAAGAAGAGCCTGTTTTTTCTTTCAACTTTAAGTTTTGTTTTGTTTCCATGAAACTGAGTTTATGCAGGGTGTGTTTGCTTCAGGAAGACTCCACAGGGGTCCAAAGGCAGGAGTATGTGGAGAAGAACGTGTTGAGGCTCCTGGTAAGGAGCAGGACACAGTTGAAGTTCTTTAGTTGGGAGAGTGAGCCTCAGAAATCTGGGATCTTGGGAATCTGAATCTAAAACAAATGTGTTACATGTCCAGCATTCTGAAGCTGGTGTTTCTATATTCTTTCCCTCTCCCTTTCCCTATCCTCCTCTACCCTAACCACCTTGACATCATTAGGTTGAGGGCCCAAAGGATGAGAATTCCAAGAGGCTACTCAACACATCAGCCTGACTTCTAAGGCTGTCCTTCTGGGGTCTGCTCTCTTTTCTCTCTTGTTTGGCTCTTCTAATTACCCCCAAGCAGTGATGCCCAGATCCTTGAAAAAGTCTGATTTGTGTATTTCTAGTAGTTGCTGGAGTTCATCTTCTTTCCTGCACATTTTATGTTTTGTCAAAAGATGTTCTTCCATTGCATTCTTCCTTCTTACCCTCTTTCTGAGGTACAAGAGTTGTACACAGCAGGGGAACTTGTTTTTTTTTTTTTTAAGAAAAAGCTGTTTTCAAACCTAAAGCTTACCTACTGTTAATGAACAAACCTAGCTTTCCAGGCTTATCTCATGCTCTTCTGTTACATAAACCAGTCAGCTGGTTACTCGCTGACCCTGAGAGTTGGCTCCTGCCCTCTCCAGCTTCCTTCCCTGGTCCCATTGCCCTGAAATGCCCTTGTTTCTTCTCCTAGTCTGCTCAAGTCCTTACCACTCTTCAAAGTAAACCCTCTGACGTGAAGAGCTTCACGACCACCCCCAGACCCAGATGTTTTTCTCTGGCTTATTTTGTAATATCAAACATGGACTTGTTTGCTGATACAGAGACCATGAAAAGAAAATCCCGCACTAGGGAATTAATTTGGCCATTTAACTCCATTTGGAAAAGAAACCTGAAAGAATTTGTTTAGGGCAAAAAGTAGGGCCTGAACCAAATGAATGAAAGATAGAACACAAGTTGCCCACAGGGCATTCAGCTTTCAATCACCCTATTTTGCTTTCTCCTTCCACTCAATTAGGTCCATATCAGCTCTGGCCCACTCAGTTCCCCTCTTGGCTCCAGTGGCTCCTATCTCCCTCTCTCTCCTGAATTAATTGGAGTGTTAGGATACAATGACCTCTTTGAGAGATACATTGGCAATATTTCTAATCTAACAATTGTCTACTAGAGCCATAGCCATAAGGGAAATCAGAGAAGGAGCAAAACAGAAAGAAAGGATAAGAGGCAGTGGGAAGTGGGAAGGCTCACTTCCAAATGAAGCCCAAGACTTTCCTGCCAGATGGGATTCACTGAATCCAGCATTCTGCTGACACAGACTAACCAAGGGACTTGGTTTAGTAGCTGCCTTGGGCTTTGTTCTCAGGGTGCCCACTGCACTGGGTCCTCCCATTTTCTGGGTCTTCCCCAGTATTTACGTATAGAGCACACTTCAGGCCCTCCCCTCCCAAAGTTTTATCCTGTACTTACCCAAGTCAAAATTCACCTGCCACTTCTCTTCCCTCTTCCTCTGGTCTATTCCCATCTACTTATCTCTTTACTATCACCTGCAAATTTGGAAATCTCACTGTGAGGTCCTTTTCTCCAAATCATTTGAAGATGCTGGTAATCCTGATGAAGATGATGGCCATGGGTTGAAGAAGGTATCTACCTTGTATAGGCATACCTTGTTTTATTGCACTTTTCAGATACTATGCTTTTTACAAATTGAAGGTTTGTGGCAACCCCGTGTTGAGCAAA